AAGTTGGGAGATCACAGGATGAAGGGGAGCTTATTCGATATTGCGCATCCTGACAACAAAGAAGGGTTTTCGTGTGTCTTTCCGTCTGGTTTTCATCGAGTTGGATTTGTGCTCAAGACTTTGAAAGCTCTCGGTGAAGGTCGAGACTCGAGGACCTTTTGTTCGGTACATGGAAGACCTCCACCCAAGACCGCCAGTTTCATCGTGCCGCCGGAGCGAGACAAGAGAAGGCAAGGCGTTAGTATCTTCACTAGCAAACACAAACAGCCCGGGGGTCTACGAATATATGATGGAGAAGGGAAAGGTGGAAATGGCGCAACGGACGAGATCTAAGGTTATTGTTGGGTTGCGGAAAGGGAGGTGGACACCCATGCTTCAACACCTCTTACATGCCCCTTTGGGAAGCAAGCAAACCAACATATTTCTTCTTCCAACGCGATCTACATTTCTGTTTGTCACGTTTTCTCTACCAAGGCTCTAGAGGGGAGAGAGAGAGAGTCGAGAAATGAACCAGAGTGATAGAGTCCTTACCAGGCACTGAAAAGATACGTTCTGTTTGTTAGTAGACAAACACCGCAATCTAGAGCCGCACAAACGACTGACCACCAGACGGGAGTGCCGTTTCGGTTAGCCGCAGGAAGATAGGTGCCCATTCGGTGAGGTTTCCCCAAGCCGGTCCGTCGTTGGCGACAGAAGCAAAGATGAAGGGGTAAACCGCAGATGGATGAGACCAGACTCCCTCACCCCCCCCCCCCTCCTACCGAGAAAGGGGGCGAGAAGCTACGTACGGGTTCCCGCGTAGGTACAGTAAGAAAGCCAGGGTAGATGAGAGACATGGACGGAGAGGCCAACTTAACAGGATCGTCGTCCACAAGGAACTGTAGTCTGCCACTTCTTTCTTGATTCTACAATTTCAACTGCCGTGGGACGAAGAAGGAGCGTGCGTTGGTTTCTCCCAGGACAATCCTTCATTCCTACAAGATTCCCGGATTCCTGGTCCTGCTTCACCAAACTCACGGATTACCCGTGTACGCAAGAAGCTCCAGGACGTCCGCCCGCCCTTGACACAGCTCCCGTCTCGATCCATGATTGCCGGCCCTTCCCCCCCTTCCATCCCCCGGACCGCCATCGAACGCCTCTCCCGCAGCCCACGCTCCCTAGACTGGGCCATCTGAGCGTCTCTGCCGTTCAAACGGGCAAAACACAGAACACAACGCACACCTTCCTCCCTCACCCCTTTAGCCGCAAGCCATGTCTTTCTACGAAGGGGACAGCCGCACCGGCCCTCAACCAGCGCCGCCGCCCCGAGCTCTCACGGCCGGCGAGATCGGAGCCATCATCGGCACCGTGACCGTCTTCATCGGCGTCGTGGGGGCACTCTTCTTTTACCGTACACACAAGGCCAAGAGGCGTCGGGCGGAGCATGGCGAGAGGGTTGACGACGACGACGACGACGAACACCGGCTGCACGAGACGAGGCACCAGAAAGGCGAAGACGGACTGTTCCAAGGAGGAGGAGGGAAAGTGGTGACGAAACCGCTCCCGGCGAGGAAAAAGACGTGGGACCCTTATGAAGGGGCGAAGACGGATGAGTCGGATGGTAAGTTGTTTCTATTCATGGTGGCCCAGGGCGTCCATATGTTGACTGTCGTGAAGCTGAGAGAGGCGAGAGCCACGAAATGCGCACCCAAGAAAGGGTGCGATCATAAGCTTCGGGAGATAGTCGTTGGACACCGCGCCATTATTTGGGTTTTTTGGTATTAAGTCTCAACTGTATTGTCCCTGGTCTGCCGCGATATTTGGGCCAAGGCGAGGTGCCATTTTTGATGGCTTTAGAGGCGACTGTAAGATGAATTAGAATCAGCATATCCCTAAAGCACATAGAGCCTGTTTTGTTCTTACGCGGACGAGGCAAGATGAGCGCGCCCCCGACCTCTTCTCTGAAGTGGTGTGCTGCGTGTGCTGGATAGACATGTCAGTCTTTGGAGTAGGAAGAGGCTCGAATCGTCAAATTGAACACGTCCATAAACTGAATTGTATTAAACGCCAAGTCCTATTCCAACAACCATGATAGACTGAGCAAAAATGGGCATTCTGACCCGCTTCGTGATCTTACCTAAACGCCAGGAATGCTTCTCGACCCAACCGATTCATACTCTACCATAAATCAAAATCTGATGCACATGCTGCTACTGTTGACCAGGTTTGGGCATATAGCGGCTTCTAAACGCTTGGCTGATGCTGAATCTGCTCCCGATGCCGCCATCTTGCATCTTACTCGCGAGGGCCTCCTCGAGAGCAGATTGTGTTACAGAGGCGTCTACTGTCAATTAGCACTGCTCATAACTAATAATTCATTGCGGAGCTTACCATCTAAGTCACTGAAGCTGCTGCCCATGCTCGGAGTGCCGTCGCTTCCGTCTCGCGAGTACCCCTTTCTGCTTGGGCTCTTGCCAGACAGTTCGGCCGGGCGCCGCGGAGAGAGGGGGCCAGTTGGGCGTCTCTCCCCTGTCGAGGGGCCCCTGGATACCATGGCTGGCGAACTCGTTGACGAATCTGATGTCTCGGAGTGGTGAATCTTCTCCTTGCCTTTCGGCGTCCGTCGGGCGTGTCGAGGGTCGCCCCGCAAAGTAGAGCCCATGTCTTGTGCTGATGTGTTGGATGATTGTGGTTTGTATTGGAGAAAAGCAGGCTCGGTGTCTTCATCTTCGTCTTCGAGATCAGTCGGTCCGTCGCGCTGCTGGAAGCGAGGTGGACGACGAATGATGCGCGATTGCGCTGGGCTGGACTCATCATCCGAGGAGGTCGGCGAGCTTAGCTCGTCGGCGTCAGGCGAAGTCGGTTCTGGGCTCCTGGGAGTACTCTGGATAGGGAGCGATGATAGGCGACGTCGCTGATTGTCGTTGGATGGCCGCGAAGTAGCGGGCTTGCTCTGGCGGGTCGTAGAACCGCCGCCCAGGTTGCGTGTTATCGTACCTGAGGAGGCATTTCGTGTGATGTTCGGCCGGAGAGAGCTCGTTATGGGCGTCGCTGGTGTGCTTGTATCGGTTCGGGGGAGCGGTGAGTCGCGTCGGATGGATAGCGCGGAGACAGTTCGTTGGTGGGTGTGTGGCTCGGCGCCAGGAACGGGGGATGGAGCAGAGGAGCCCTTGGCGGCAGCGGCAGCTTTCCGGACCTGGGCTCGAAGCTGCGCAGTGTGCCGTTCGGTCAAGTAGGCTACTTGCTGGAGAAGGAAGTCGACAGTCACATCGAAATGTGCGGCTCTGGGTAATGAGTGAGCTTGATGGCGTGGTTCCGGTTCCTCGGAAAGACTTACAGTTCATTCCCTATACACAACCAAGTTAGCAATGTTCAGAAGCTTGGGGGCTCAAAATGCTAGCCAGAACTTACAGTCAATCTCTTGTTTGGTTGCGCCAGAGATGATGTTCCATAGCACATCGTCCTTGGCGGAATCCCAGTTGACCTGCATCGTGGAGTCGCATTAGTGTCGGTCCCGCGGCTATAGGCACCCGGACGGCTATGGGCGGATGGACTCATGGGCTCACCGGAGGGGGATCCGTGAACCCGCCCCGCAGAATGGGCAGTCTGACGAAGACTGTGTACGTGGGATCAGTCATTCCGATCGTGCGTTCGTCATGCTTGCTGGCTCAGCTCTGGGAATGGTGACAGCCTTGGAGGTGTAGCTTGGGAAGAGTGCGACTTGAAGGAGTGAAGATGACGGAAGAGGGCTGGCTCCCGCTGTCGTTGAGAGCCTTATCGGAGCTGCGGGAGCGATAAGGAGCCCGTGGTGGGGCGGCTGATGACGGCTGGGGCCGGGTGGGCTTGGTGTGGCCTGGTACTTGTACTACGTACTCTTCAAGCGTTTCGGGGAGCGAGCAGGGCAACTTCGTCTCAGGTTCTCAGCATCGTCCCTTGTCCAACAACATGCACTCACACCAATCGCGACGAACCACGGTATTTGTAGCAAGGTGCTCCTTGCCAGGTAGAAGGGACGCCATCGGTCGCATCGACATCTACAAGAGAGCATCGTCAAGAATTCTTTGCTGAGAGTGCGGTATCTTCAAAGAGCTCCAGCATTGGTACCTCTTCGTCTGCGGATTTAGGCTGATCAAATCCTCAAGGGGAAGATGACATCTCAAAATCGTTAGCCACAACCAGCAGGCGCCTCTCTAGGGCGGGAGGTCAGATCAGACTGGGATGCGTGTTCGATCCCAGCTTGAGCACCAAGAGATGTAGCCTACCGAAGTCAGCAATACGAGCTAGCGTGGGATATTCTGGTCAGCTCAGTAAGCACCCAGCTGCTGCCGCCAACAACAGGCCACGACGGCCATAACTCCCTGTACAAAGAGGACATGTTTTCTGCCGCAAGATCAGTAGAAGCTAGAGTGGCCTCATGACCCTCCTCGAAGCAAGGCCAGGCCACCATCGCGTCCATTGCCGCAGGCGTTTGCCATCCTCCAATTCCTATGCACTCACGACAGTCCGACACATCACAAGAACGGGAAGCTGATTGAGATGCCGTCTTCTTCAGAACGACATAGAGCCACGGGCTTTGGTCTACTCAGTGTTTTCATATTGTCTCTATCGCTAGCATGCTCCGGTACATCCGCATTCGAGGTCAATGACTGGGAGGATGCGTGTAAGTCTGGCTTCATGTCCATTGTGAGTGCCCCGCCAGAGCTTCAAAGCACTCATGGGCGCTGTGATTAATTGAAGTTGTGTTATGAAGAGCCTCGGACCTTCATATGCAAGCGTGGGCAAGATTCAACGTGGTGCCAGGAGAATACCGCTTGATGGCCAGAGTAAGCTCGCCATGGAACTTCTAGATAGTAGGACTAACAACAGATTGTACTTCAGGCTTCACAATCATGGGGTCATATGAGTTGGGACATCATGCGCAAAGTGATCCAAGTCTTTCAAGTGCTCTGTTCGATTACAGGTCAGACCATGGCCTGCAGCGCTCTCTTTGATGGTGGTGAGTGCTGACTTCCATCAGTGTTATGGCCTGCGATGTCACCGAGCCCGAGTACTTCCTACATCGGACCATCAAGCATCCAATCCCTCACGTTGGATTCAGCGCAAATCCTCATGAAGCTCACATATTTAGAGACTCGGTAATCGAAGCCCTCTGGAAACTCAAGAAGGTGGCCGAAGCCTGGACACTTGGACCCATCGAACAGGCAGTCGTGACTGTGCCGCAATATTTCACAAGAGAAGAACGCAATGTAATCACGGAAGCTGGGGTTTCCATTGGAATAGAAGTACTTCGCATGATGAACGCGCCAACCGCCGCTGCTATTGGGCTCGGCATAGACAAGCTGGACGACGAGTTCAACTTCATTGTTTATGACCTAGGGAGAGAAACCTTTGAGGTATCTTTCTTTGAGGTTGATGCAGGTGTGTTTGAATGTCTGGCTAGTGTCAGTGATCACCAGCTTGGAAAAGAGGTGGGCGAATTGATGCAGAAAAAGCAATTGGGAGGGAGCTCGATATTCGACGCAACTGAGATGGAGACACTCGAGAAGACTCTACCCCTTCTGGGCCAGGTTATCGAAAGCGCGAATCTCTCCAGCAACGACATCTCAAAAGTCCTCATTGTGGGAGGCTACACGGAACCGAAACAGTCAAGATCCATGGTAGAGAACTTCTTCGGTAACAGAACCTCTACGATCTTCGACTACCCAGGAAGCCTTCGCTTGATACTAGGCATGTGGGACTACGACGAAGTTGTCACGTTTGGCGCCGCTGTCTTTGCCGAGAATGTCTGTGGACGCGGAAGACATGGCGACCTAGTCGGTACGCTTGAGGTGAACCCACGATCTGTCCTTCTCGAGATCATCGGAGGCGAGGCGCATCGGGTGTTTCAGCGGTACACAATACTTCCGAGTACTCAGGCCATGACCTTCACCACGACAGTGGACGGACAGACGAGGGTCGTCATACCAGTCTTCCAGGGCGAGCTGCCAGATGCGAGAAAGAACGACGAAGTACTCGTTCTCAGGTTGGATTGCATCCCGCCTGCGCCTCGCGGAACTCAGACAATCCAAGTGGTTTTAGAGGCAGGCGTTGACACGACGGACGATGCGTACAGGTTCTTGCTCCAGGCTTCGGTGCATCTCGTGGGTGGAAAGGAGCAATGTTCGTACAGTGCTTCCGGGGTTCTCCATGACTTTGGCGCAATTGACGCACTCAGCGGCGAAGAAACTGAGCTTGAAGCAGCGTATGTGTATGGAAGAGTCGACCACGGGGGGCCTGGTGTATGCATCAATCCTCAAGGGGACATTGACCATCATTACGTGACGGCAGTCGAATAACTCTCAATAGAGGACAACTAGGACTAGCCGACTGACTGATTTAAATATCCTTGAATGCTTTCCCGCTGATTGGACCTTCGGAACCTGCCAATAAGGCACCTTGTCAAAATGCCGAGGGAAGCATTTTAACATCAGCATGTCAGGTCACTACCATCATGAACTGTGGTGCGATTCCTTGGAGGAATTCGTAGCACAACACATCCAAACAACTCAATTCGGCCTCCAAACCCGACAAATCTCTCACCCCCATCGCCAAAATTTCCCTCTACCTCAAAATACCAGACCTTTTCCGTTTTTAGTCTATCCACACCTTTCGTTCCCCACCACCTCATCTCAGAGACAGGTCTCGCCCTGTAATGGCTTCATGGAGTTGACCCACCGTCCCACAAGCCATACAAATAATTTTTCATGTCTTCATGCGAACCCCATCGCGCTCTCACAACTCCGCTTCCCAGTCTGCGAGGTAAGAATCCAATCCTGAGCGAATTCAGCATCAAGCAATCCGATATGGTGTAGTGGCCAACATGATGCCCTCTCATGAGCTCCCACGAGCGAGAGGTTAGGCATAGCCCCGAGTTCGATTCTCGGTTTCGGAATGTCGAGACAATCTTTTTCGCTTTTCTTTTAACCTATTGTATACATAGATGGGTTGCCAGACTTTGGCCCAACTTTCTCCCATTTTGTCAATCAATGCATGGCTCCGTCCCGAATCGTAATACTTCAGTCTTCGTTCCATAGTGGATTGGTATTCCATTCTTGTCATTCATCCTACGCCCCTATCACAGACTAGTATCCCCCGTATCTCAGGTATCTAATGCCAGATAACTCAAAATCAGTGCTCGACCGCAGTCTCCAGAGCGGCTCTCAGGGCGGACTCGTTGCGAGGGGTGAAGGTGACCTTGTAGGAGCCTGGGGTGATAATCAGGTTGGTCAGATCAGCAGCGCCGGTGATGGGATCAGTGTCGATCTTGTCCGTTGACGACAGCTCGAAGCTGGCCAACATGCGGAGGAAGGTGATGTACAGTTCGCGGTTGGCCAGCATGGTTCCGGCACACATGCGGTAGCCCATGCCGTAGGTGAACATGGGTGCTTCGGGGTTCTCCAGCCAGCGCTCGGGGCGGAAGACCTCGGGATCGTGCCAGAGGTCGCCATCTGAGGAAGAGTCAGTTTCGTGTGTCTGAATACATTTAATTCCCAATCTGGGAGTAGAGACTGACCCATGTTGCAAGCCCAAGAGTTCAAGAAGACTACGGTGCCCTTTGGTACCAGCTTACCCTCGTACATGAACTCCTTGTTCGTAGCACGAGGCAGTGAGAGGCGGAGGACGGTGAAGAATCTGAGAAAAAAAAAGTCAGTCAAACGTCGCAGATTGTCGAGAATGCCATATCGAAGTCATACCTCAAGCATTCGCGTACCAAAGCGCGGAGGTAGGGAATAGTCTGGTCATCATGCGCATCACACAACGGGTTTCCCTCGTCGTACGTCTTTCTAATCGCCTCAAAAGCCTTTTGCTGAATCTCGGGGTGCGTTGCCAAGAACCCAATGCCCCACGTCGATACCGCAGTAAACGTCTCGAAGCCGGCAGAAAGCATGGTGAGACTGATCGATGTCAACTCGACGTTGTTGAGCTTAGCCTCCTCGTCGAGCATAACGTTGGCCTGGATACACGGCTCATGCGTTCCGTTGCGAATCTTCTCCTCCAGGTCGCCGTTGAGCTTGGATAGGTACTTGTCGCGGCGGATTCTCATCTCGACGGCGTGGCGCTTCCCTGCTGAGAAGGGGTTGTAGCGGAGTAGGGGGATGTAATCCTGCATATTGTCCGTGACGCTCCTGGTGCGGCTGATCTCGCCCTCAACTGTCGTGATTTCCTTGAAGAGTCCGTCGTCGTGGCTTGGGAATCGCATGCCCCAGTTCAGTGTCACTGCCAGTGACAAGCTGAGTCTCTGGACCAGGGGCAGGGGGTCGACGGTGACTTTGCCTGCCTTGCCGTAGTTGAGAGCGTCTTTGAGGAAGTCTCTTGTCTCGAGATCCAGGTGGGGGATGTAAGTCTCAATGGATGGGCGGTTCAGGGCGGATGCTGCGCCCTTTCTCCTTCTCTTAAGAGACTCATTGTAGGGGGATGTGCCAATAGTGGTGCCAGCAGTGTTGGCAACGATCTAGAGCGTGAATGTTAGGGATACCAGTCTCAATTCGATTAGACGATCTAACAAACCTTGTGGAAAGTGTAGAGCTCTGGTCGTGAGGCAGTCGCTTGCGAGTTGTTTCCAAACATGACCTTGGCCGCAGCAGCGGTGTTCACAACCAAAACAGGCAGGTTGCCCAGCTGGACCTGATAAACGGCACCAAACTCCTTGGCCCAGTCCTTGTACACCTGCGAGGCATTACCGCCAAGCTGGTGCAGGTTGCCTATGACGGGGAGTCCCTTTGGGCCATGCCAAGCGGGAAGACGAGCTTTCGATCTGACGACTTCGTTTGCGATGAAGTACACCAACACCGCGACGCCCAGAAATTTGGCGAGGAACTCGGTCGGTCGGTGAGTTGCCTCGTGGACGAGGCCTTGTACGAGTTCTGCGACGAGCATGATGGGCAGGATGTACAGGGCGCAGACTGTGATTGCTGATTGAGGTCGTTGACTTTGTTGATTTTGATGACAACGACAGACTAGATGAGCAAATTCATTTATAATGTAAGATAACTCATTGGGCGGAAATCTCCCATTAGAATTCACAGTTCCCCGCGATTTGTCCTGTCCTTGGCCTGAGCCAAATCGCGGGGTCCCGAGACGATGGTTTGGTGTCGGAATACCAGTTCCAAATTCCGCCCCCGCGTCCCGGTGTCGCGCGGAGGCCGCACAGGTCACACTATGACGTGGGGTTTGACGGAGTAATTGGAGGTGGAGAGATGCGGGCATTGATCGGAATCATTGTCCGTAGTGATTATGGTATTATGCCTTCCGCACGAGGGGAAAGTTGTGAATTCAGGGGCTTGGAGAGAAATGGTCGGGAATGAGCCTAGATCCTGAGCAGCCATCGCCAGCTTCAGGCTCTCGAGCCGAGTCTCATGCCCTCCAAGCTCCTCAAGCAACAGAAAGACACGACGCTTGCTCAATTTGTCGCTGTGATCATTTTGTTGATTAACCTTTGCCAACATCAAGCATAGTAACGAGGTCGAGATTAGCAGAGGAGTCGACAAATGCCGCAGCTTTCACGCAATCATGATTCAAGAGGATGGCCAAAGGTTGAATGGTTCATAATACATCATGTCATTTTATAGCATATCTACAAATAAGTGTGACACATCCATGGAGGCGTTCATATCGTCCACGAGAAACGCATCTTCGGGACCTCTCTCTGGATCGAGGCCGTCGCCGTCGGTACCCAGAACAGGTAAAGGAATCCCAAAGTCTCCCCCGCCATCTATCGAGTTGAAAAAGTCATTCAGCTCCTGCGCCATCTGAGCCTCCGTGAAAGGCTCACCGGAGCCTGCTGGCCATGTATCAAGCTCTGGGCCGCGCAACCCATCATCGACACCTGTCGGCACGCTTCCAGGTGGGATGTCCATCCCTCCAGATGAGGTGGGTGGTGTAACCAGCGCGTGACCTTGCTGCGTACTTGGCTCTCTGGCTTCCCTAGACTGAGGAGCATTCAATCCTAGCTTTCGCCAAGCGAGCCGCAGGTCGCTTATTCTCCTCCAGAGTCGACTTGAGACGTAGGACCTGGCACTGAGACCCCTGATCAAGTCCAGTGCGGTGTGGAACTCATCGCGGACTGAAGCGCCGTGTTCGGTTGGTGACAGCGCAACGACCAGGAAGATGACTCCGAGAGCGGAGACAAGAAAATGGTTGAAGCACATTTGTTGATTTTGGTAGATGTCTGTTGATTTATTAAGAGAGTCGAGCATCTGGATAGTGTCCTGAGCGAGGTTGACGAGTGACTGAACCTTGGATTTGTTGGACTTGAGACTGGATGTTGAGTGGAGGAACGGTTGAAGGAGAAGGATCTTCATTTGGTTGGCTCGCAGATGAAGCAAGACCTGCAGCCGTTGAAGACCTCTAGATGTTGTAGAGTTTACATTTGGGCTGGCCATCTGCTCATTTGAAGAAAGCCTCAAGTCTTCCGGAAGGTCTTCATACCATTGGTCTATGCGGTACAGCAGGTAGGAGATTTCGTCGTCTCTGATGGCGCCTGTTGCTCTTGCAGAATTGTACGATGTCGCCCAAACCTTGTCGCCGATTCTACTGTACTCAACCATGGCTCTGAGATATGGAACATCTTGATCCTGTGGTTGAAGAGGTCAATAACTATCTCTCTCGCAATTGTAGCTGAATATTGTGTAACTCACAGGTTCCGGTAATTGCTGGTCAACATCGAAGTTATGCATCACGAAGGGCAACCCTGCGCCAAAGCCCCAACGCCGGTCCAGTGTGTAGACACACCAGAACAGCCGCATGGCCATCTTACGTTTCCCAGCATCCTTGAAAGTTTTGCTGATAGTTGCTGACTGATGGAGGCCCATTTCTAAGCACCATCGGGCAACAATGCCGACGAGCCTCCAAGCTTGCAAATCATCACCAGTCATGAAGCTATAAACAGCCTGAAAGCATATGTTAGCAACCTCGGACACATTCAACACATTGTAGGCGACACCTACGAGTAAAATATAGAGCATAGTCGACTTGATGCTCGCCGATTCCCATAGCTTATCGTGTGAGGATTTCCTCACGTCGAGGAATAGGGACCTGCCAAGTTGACTTGAGCCCCCGGCTTCTACTGTCAAGGCAGTTGATAGCACCATCTTGACCAAGCTTAGATCTTGAGGGTCAATAATGGTCGGCCCTGGGATTGCAGCAAAGGCAAACCCAAGGCGAGACCCGCTGTTCATGGCATGGTAAAGGCTTCGAACTCGTTCGATGAGCCACCCAATGTCGAGAAAGGGGTACTGAATTCCAATCTCTTCTTCATACACATTGCATAGCCGTACAGCTTCTTCCTCGTTGATTAGCCACAAAGGATCTATTGACCCGACGTCTAACCCAAAAGCTGTTTGAATGGATGGGGAGGGTGGGCGAGTTGGATTGACAGATCCGGGCATTCCGCCGGACTCGTGATCGGCGGTGCCGATGCCCCGTGCCCGTAGATGTGTTCTTGCAAGGCTGATGTTAAAGGTGTAACTGGCGGATGGTTGAGGCTCGTCTTGGCTAGCAGTGGATTCAACGTCCACGACAATGGGGTCAGGTTGAAGTGCTGGGTCCACTACCTGGTCATCCGGATTACCCAATGAGACCGGGAGATCTTGGATCACTGTTGGTGCAACCTCAGAATGGTGAGGGCTTGACTGGTTTTCCGACGGCTGCTGAGACTGGTGCCGACGCAACTGATCCAGGCCTCCTTGCAGAGAAGCCACTTGATCCCTTAGAGACTGAATAGCCTGTGCATCGGTATCACTACAAAATTAGTCAATAGAATACCATGATTGTTTCAAGCCATAGACTTACGCGCTATTCCCTCGGTCTTTGCGTGGTTTCTTCGAGGCCGGGTATGCACCTAAGGCTCAAGCTATTAGTTTTCCTCGCTCTGCATCGGCAATGGGAGGAATCGATCAACCCACAAGTCAATGCTTGACGAGCGCAACGGAAACAAGGGCTCTTGCCATTACACTTGCTCTTTCTTTTCCGGCACTCAAAGCTGCAAGGTTTTCGAAACGTAATCAGTATAGACCAGCAACCAACGTCTGCTTACGTCGGAATCCCGAAGATGGGTCTTTTTCTTACCATGCCTTGGAAATGTATTTCCCTCGAGTGGTCCGGGTCTTTGGGGCACTCGGAATTCCGCTCTTCTGAGAACCGGGGGATCCGGCTTGCGGGCCGTCACCGCCGCCGACTGAGCTGGGAGATTCTGGAGAATCCATGTTCCAATTGAAAGTAAAAGGTGATAGCACGTGATCTCCTTCCGCTCTCTTCTTTTCTTCGTTCTTTTTTTCTGGGACCTGCTTCTTTGAGCGAAGCAGTCGAATGATAATCGAACGATAAAAGAGGTCGAGAGAAAAAGGGCGGAATTTGAGAGGTAGGGTTTCCGGGGGGTTTTGAAGGATCTTGGCTGGACATTAACCCCCGCCACCCCGCAAACTTATGCCGCTAGATCTCTGGGGTAGGGTGGCATTCAGTGGGGATTGATCACTATCCGTCAAAGCCGGAGTTACACCCGAAATCGTTCCCGGGATACGTTCAACATTTGACTAATTGGGAGTCTTTGATTGATCACTCGTTCTCCAACACTTCTTCCCAGAAATGCAAGATGAAGTACTGACTCAGAATTGTAGTTTCTTTACTGGACGTCCGTATGGGGACGGAGATAAGAGCAGGAACCTACCTGACTCGATTACTAGCCGGACTAAGCTTGGAAGGGATAGATGGTCCTGTGCTAAATCTTTGCGGCATGGCGGCGTCCGCAAGGTTTCACTTCACCACAACTCTTGCAACTTGAAAGTTGACATATAGCTCTCATCATGGGTCGATATTTCTCAAGATAGAAACTCACTGAGAATAAAGTTACACATGGCGTTTATCACTGGGAAAGACACACTATATAGAGGCATGTCTCGCAAGTAGATCGATCATGGAGCAACTGCTCGTTCCAACAAAGATGGGAAGAGCTTGCGAAGGATGTGCGCATGCAACTTTCTGTACCACATGTGACTTCCAAGGATCCTTCAAACATATATGAACCTCGTCGAAATCATCGAGATCTGACATCTTTGACAGTCGCGGATCGAAGGTTCTTTTGATGATCGAATGCCATCTGTGTCCAAAATGCCTCTGTTTGAGGTGGGATGATGGGGCTAACGGCGGAATTTCCGGCGGGTCCATACGCGCAAAGCGAGGGCGGAACTCGGAAATACTTCCGCTACCGTGCTGACCGGTGTGTTTCACTGAAGTTGTTGTCTTTGAGAGGCATCCCTCGTGGAGAACATAAGCGACACTATCTTCCATTCAAGGCAATCAGGTATGGACAAAAACTGGTATTTGAATGTGCATTGATTTCAACTGTGTTGCGCTTACGATCCTATCGTACCTAGGACGCAATGAACATTGATGCTGATCGCATCAAAGTTTCCGTTTCCAGACTCCGATTGCCACCATGCTTAAATGCAAAGATGACCTAGCGGCTGAATCTTTTTTCTATCACGTTTTCCTGAACGAAGAGATGTCATATAATTGGACTCTTCCTAGATCAAAACACTCTTCGTCAGTTTGAGCTCACCCCATGAGGTTACATGCGCCCTGGAGTCTTTCTTGATTAGCCGGGTTCTTCAGTAACTTAGTAGAACACCAGTAGCCGCACGACCATGAAGGGAAAGTTGAAACGGCTTTTTAGAGCGCGCGACAAACTCAGGCGAAGGTTTGGGGAGTTCCTCCAAGTGATAACCATGCTCACAGGAAATAAGCAAGTCAGTACTGGAATGGCTCACTGATGAGGTGCCCGAAGATTTGTGCAATATTGGAGTTGTGCTGTATACATCTTCACCAACCATTGCACCGTGGTATGGCTGTATGCCCTATGCTTCCTCGTTGATACGACCACGGCATGGCACATCATAACTACAAGGGGTACTTTCTGAACACAGGTGAATCTTGGGCCCAGATCGGTTACTCTCAGAAGGCCGAGACCTGTATGAACCCCTCATTCTGGGCGAGGACACGGGGTCCAGTCGAAATCCTACACAACTGGTATATTGACGACATGCCCACGATGGTCTAATTGAAATTTCATGTTCGAGACGTGATTGCTAGTTATATTTGGCATGACGATGCTGTCTTTTTTCGATGGTTCAGAATTGCGTTAAATTCGGTTGATCGGGGCAAAGCAAACCGAGCGCTTGTTCAAATCCACGAGGATCCAGTCCTCATTGCAACTCGTGGACACATCACCCCATCTCTTTGGACAAACCCTCCAACCTCAAATCGCGGGGTCGACATTTTACATTGTCTCTCTTCATCCTGTCATCAACGACATCGTTTCGGAGTCGGATATTCTTACAAAATGAGTCTTTTGACATCGTTTGCGGCGGACTCCGCATGGGCCCTGTGGGACAGCGAATCCATCGATGGGGCATTCGAACTCGACCTTCCACAAGGGACTATCGACCAAGGAGTTGTCAAAGCAGTCTCAAGACCATGGGTATTTGGCTACAAACCAACAACGAAGCCCAACGGGCGCGCGGTGCTCATTATGGGTGGCGGCGGTTACATTGAGCTCATGGTGGGCCGTGAAGGGGTCGCCGTCGCACGCTGGCTCGCTTCTCTCGGCTTCGAAGCTTTTGTACTTGTGCACCGATTCCCGACAGCAGAAACAGGACCCCAAGCTCCAGTCGACGATGCTAAACAGGCGTTGCGTCTGATCGAAGAGAAGGCGGCACCAGCGAGGTTAGCGCTGTGCGGTCTGTCCTCCGGCGGCCACCTTGCGTCCGCGCTGCTCGCCGAATACCCGGCTTCGTGGGCGTCTTCTTCCGGGGCACCGGTGCCGAAGCCGGAGTTTGCCATCATTGGATACGGACCTATCTCTACCAATGCCAAGGGGCACACCATCATTCCCAATAAGGCGCCCCTCGAGCCGCCGGCAAAGCAGGAGCTTTATGATACTGTCATCCCCGATCAGCAGATCTCGCGCCCGGCACCGCCAACCTTTATTGTGTATTCTGCCAGCGACTCCGTGGTGCCTGTGGTGAACGCATACAGGCTTGCGCAGGGGTTGCAAGCAGCAGAGGGGTCTGTCGAGCTCCACGTTTTTGCTGACGCGCCCCACGGCTTTGCTTTGGACACTGAAGGGTTGCCCGTCTCGAATTGGCCCTCAATGGCTGAGGAGTGGTTACGGCAGAGAGGATATATGGCATAAATAATAGAGAAGTAGTGCAATGTCAACCTCTTCGGTCTATTTAGACTATTTACCTTCTTATTGTACATGAAATTTGCAGAGAATCCAACCGCCTGATGAGACGAACATAAGACAAACCCAATGGGCTCCTGCTGTAAATGAAGACCCTGGCCGCTAAATCAAGTTGCATCAGGCACCCAATTAGCCCCCAACCGCCACATCAGCCATCGAAGGATCATGCAGTCATCTTTAAGCGCCCGTTTCGCGCCAACCAGTTTGGAACTGCCACCGCAGAGACCAGGAGCTGAAGTCGAAATGTCGGAAACTAATGCAAGGCTCCCGGGGGTTGTCCCTAGATTGACACACATGTAACAGGGTTCCTGTCAGTATTGAGGCGCCCATACGTAGTAGGTCCATCATCATATGGAGAAAGTTGCCAGCCCTGAGAAAATTTGGCCTTGGCCTGGAGGCCGGAGAAACTTGAATAAAATATAGATAATTCTGTCACCGGACCGTAACAGACGATCACTGAATCTCTGATCTTTCTTCCTCAATCAGGCGCGGCCGCTCTTGACTGTATAATGTCCATGTCGCTCCTTGACCTTCATTGGAATTGAAAAAGAGAGGAACCTTTTGAAGAAGGCCTTTTTCGGCTCCATTGGAAGTACCTCAACCTCCACTGGTCTCAACATGGCGCCGAGGTCGGAGTATTCGCGGTCTTCGACAAACACCCGTGGCCTATTCGACGATGAATTCACGGAGAATAACAAGAATGTTTTTATCGTTGGAACCCATCCACTTCTTCAACGGGACGTAGAGCTTGATAGCTTCCTAGCGAAAACATCCGTTAGCGGCGAGGACAGAAGCGCAGACGACACTTCCAATCACGCAGCAGCATGGTGCCCAGCATGGCTTCGGTCAAGGACATTGTTGGCTTTCGCCGCTTTGTTTCTTCTCTTCGGCGCTTCTCTCATTGTTATGTTTCAATTTTCCCAGGAGAATAGTGGTCTGGTCACCACACGTCAGAGCTTCGTTTACCTCTGGCGATTTGGCCCAACAGCAAGTAAGAAAAAACTGTAAAGACTTTTTGTCAAGACAGGCTGACGTTCAATGATTCAAGTCTTGACTCTGTTGTCCATCTTCTGGTCAAGAGTTGAGTTACAGGCCATCCGCTATACGCCTTGGATCGCTTACCGCAACAACCCCTCGATGGGCAGGGACGAGTATTATACTCTCGACTACACAGCAATGCTGTCGCCTTCGATTCTTTATCAATCCTTGCGGAGAAGACACTTCCTTGTCTTCATAATTGCCGTTGTATCTCTTGTTATCAAGATCCAGATTATTCTCGCCCCTAGTTTGTACAGCCTGGTCAGCTTCCAGGCTGAACAACCCTTTGATGTTCGTGTGCTCGACTCGTTCAATGTCAGCAGTCCAGCGATGTCAAACAGAGAGACAAGTGCATACTACATTGCAAAGGCCCTGCAGAATTTCGAAATGAAGCTACCATTTGGGGTCACAAAGGAAGGGGCCTATCAGACGTTTTCATTTCGTCAGGGCTCCGGGCGAGGGACAGAAACGGAACCGATTACAGTTACTGTTGATGGGTACTTTGCAGAGATGCGATGTCTGAAGCTTAGTAACTACTCGCATACAGACCTCAAGGAAACAGGTCCTGCCAGGAGCTATTACGCCTTCAACGCCAGTCTCTTGTTCGAGGGCTGTGATCAGCCTGTCCCAGTCACCACCGATCGAATGATGTGGATCAATTCTAGTCCGAACAAAACGACGTTACAGAGCAGCTGGAATGTCAACAGCCTCCTTAATGAGCCAAAGCCGTGCTCAAGCCTTCCACAGCAACACAACCAGTCTTTGTACTACGCTACTCGTATTGGACCGTCATCAAAGAACACATCTCATCCTGATGTTCTTAATTTTGCGGCGATTTTGTGCTCCTCGACGGCCTGGACAACTCCAGTGGAGATAGTTGACGACGGTGTGAGCCCGAACATGACGGTCATACCGGGCGGGTCCAAGACAGCAGTCACCGCAGACCTCTGGTCCTTGTTGGGGAGCTCCATTCCTGAAACAGCTGGTCTATGGGCTGGCTCAGGGACCGGCACTATCTTTGGGCCGATCATTACAGGTTTCCAGTTCAACGGAAAGGGAACGAACAATGACACTGATCCATCGCTATTCACTAATGATGTTCTTTACAACGCGGTAATGAACACGAGCAGTATCTTGAGCCCTTTGATCGGTCATTATCGTCTGCGAGAAGAAAGCGATTCTCAAACAACTGGAACAACAATCGTCACGATCGAACGGCTAACAGTCAACCAGTGGGTTTCACTGTCGATGACAGCGCTGTTCTTTTTGCTTGCTGTTTTGACCATGATTGTTCTACTTCGCTATAGAAACAGGATGTCAATATGGCACAGAGACCCTGCCACGATTCTTGGAAACATGCTCTTCTTCCGCGATAACATGGGTCTATCAAACAACATCATGGCTTCTCAGTCGCGTAGTATCGATAACGAGTGGAGCTCTCGCGAGTTCACCCCTTTGGTACTGAGGACATGGACACGAGTGCCGATCTCTGTCCTGATTCTTGGAATCATTGGTGGGCTATACTACACTTTAAGTCTATCGGAAGCACAAAAAGGGCTTGCCTCTATAAATGCCGATGGTTATCTGCATCTACTATGGACGTCGGTTCCAGCACTGGTGATGCTTTCTGTTGCTCTGTACGTCGGCTGCTGCGACTCCGCCTATCGAGGTTTGGCGACACTTTCAAGCCTTTCTCTGAGACCGTGTAGCGCAAGACTTCTCGACATGTCATTCCTTGACATGATGGGTCTAAGGGCATTATACTGGTCGATCCGAAAGCGTGTCTGGGCTGTCACCCTGTCACAGTTGCTCACCTTCATCTGCACATTTCTCACAACTCTAGCTTCGGTTATGTTCACCGTAGACCCAATACCTAGCTCTACGAGTGTCCAGCTGCGACAGACAACATGGTTCGGATCACGTCAAATGACGTTGAACAATGCTGGATCCTTCGCAGCAACGAGAGACTCGTTGAGCAGCCTGGTCCTGCGCAAGGGCGATGGAGCTCTGACCTACCCGCGGAACACCTACGACGATCTCGTTTTCCCGGTCCTTGACGGACTGCAAGGAACAGAGGTTTCCTCAAACGTTTCTGTTCAGCTCAGTGTTCCGGCTGCCAAATTGGCCCCTACCTGCGTCCAGTTACCCGCCAGCACCTACAACATCACATTCCGGAACTACACCGAAGAGGACAAGTTCTTTGAGGTCCTTATGGTCGAGTCGTTTGATTGTCCGAACGGAAATCGAGCCAAGCTTCCGGGAATCATCTCCATGAGCACCGCTACGAACAGGCTTGGCCGCTCATACTTTTCAGACATCCTTGAATCACCAGGAAACACGTATTCCATCAACGGCCTTTGTAAACTTGGCTTGAATATGAGCGCTCCTGATTACATATACTCACCATTTCGATTTCAAACTTACGTATGGGGAGAGTTTAACAAAGAAAAAAACGATCTTGACCATCTCTCTATCTGGCGATGTAACTACACCTGGGTCGAGACTAGTACCAAGGTCTCATTATCCATGGAGTCGGACGGTATATACATTCTCGACCCGGAAAGGCCGCCGGAACCCGATCTTTCAACTACGAAGCTCTGGGATCCTCCATTTGACGTTCCTCACTTCGACTTTCAGTTCATCAACTTTCAAGCTGGTGACGCATTCCCAACCGTCAGCCTCAACAACCCGCTCGCTGGTTCAATGGAAAGGCAATTCACAGTCTTGATAGAGCCATACGGCCAGTTACCGCTGAGCGCATTGGGAGATCCTAGACAGGAATCCAACGTTCTTGATGGCCTTAAACACAACTTGGGGTTCATTGGTGCCCAACTCGCCAACTTAGAGAATCGCTTTAGCGTCACTGAGAATTCCAGAAATCGCCCTCCACCTGCTGATGGTCTCCCATTGCTTGAAGCAATCATTGTAGACAGAAGCAAACGACGCCTAGTCCAGAACCCCACAATAACGTACATCTTGATTGCCGTACTGGGCTTGGTGGCTCTGTGTAACATAATGGCAGTACTCTCTGACGCTACGAGGCATCTTAGTGGAATGCCGCGATTGTTCGATATGGAAGTGAAAGGGTTGGCGCCAGATGGTTTCCATAGCATGGCGTCTATGATCAACCTGCTTCAGGGCTCAAATGCACCAAGTCACCTACCACAGAGTGTTCATCTACTGTCAAAAGGCGACCTCTACAGTCGTACGGATGATTTGAGCTTCAGAATGGGTTGGTTTCAGAGAACCCGAGATCAAACTAGGCATTTCACTATTGGAGTCCTGGGTGATGAAGAGCTCGTGTATATGCGCGGGGGTGCGGGAATCAGGGATCCAACATGAAGGTTTTGGTCTGTTAAGTGAAAACGGGCAAGAACCTTGAAATATGTTCGTCTATCAGTAGCCAGTGTGCCGGCGCGGAGGAAACTTCATCTTAGTACCTTGGAGGTTGACAAATCGCGATATGAAGCGCCGGAATCCAGTGTATGTCGGTATCGGATTCTTCAAAGGGGCGAAAGGTCTACGAATGAGAAGGAGTGAAGTCTCATTCAAACTTTTGGAACACCAAGTATTCAGATGACCTGTAAGGAAATCATCATGGCATTATAAGAGCACGTCTCAACAGTCCAGTCCTCCAGTCATCAGTAACTCGTGATATGATATGTTTTGAATTTTCCAACCTCCCTAAGCAGATTGGGCCAATGTTTCTTGTGGTTGCCTGTCGTCGCCTCCCATCACCGTGCCGTGCCTGTCACCGGCGATCAATGCGAACGGATCAACCCCTACGGCAGCACGGCACCGGCCCGCACATACTGCTGCCGTCTTCGGTATCGGGTTTTCGTAATCCAGCATTTTTCTCATCCCATCTTTACACTTACTACGAATGGATTACTCATTTCGACCAGTACCAGCAGGGAACTGCTGCTGTCGGCCTCCCATCTAGCTTGTGTCAGCCTCGGTCAGACGTCAATTGAAAGCTTACTGGTTTCCCATTTCTACAGGTTTTGAAACACCACACGAAACCATGCGAGCCCCGACACTCTAATACGAATACTGTTCAGCCCCAATTACATCCTCATGTAGGGGACCTTCTGTGTGCCAGATCCTTGCTCTGTGCTGCAGCAGTGATTTGTATTTGTCGGTGTGTCTTCTTGTCAGAAACTGCAAGTCCAGAGTATCGTCGCTGGATATTTGTCCATTTACATCGTCGCGAAAGCACCGAGACTAGGCTTACTTCTACACCTTTCACTCTTCACATCGGTAGCAATCCGGTCAGCTCTGAAAGTCAGACATTTCTGCGTGCTGGCCACAATTACCGAACTCGTCACTACTCACGGCATTTATCCCGGAAGGTCTATTCACTGCCGTCAAGATGGCGATCGCGGAACAGGGCATGGTCATGATCGTAGTGGGGGCGATATTGATGTTTCTTAACACCTTCTTCGTCGGTCTACGTCTGTATACTCGGATCTTTATCACGAAGCATGTCCGACCCAACGACTACTTACTGCTCACAGCTCTGGTTCGTATCCCAATCGCGGAATATGGATTCGTTTTATCTAACGCTATGTTTGCAGGCCGCCTTTGCAGCTCTTTACGCTCTCTTGGTCCTAGGTGTTCAAGGTGGAATTGGCGGCAGCATTCTCCAGGCGACACTCCCCGGAATCGCCAGCTCTCTCAAAGTACTATTTTTTCTGGAAATCATCTATGTGGTACTCACCTCTGCGATGAAAGGGAGCATTGCTTTGACCTTCATTCGACTATCACGCTCGAGGATCCTGACTTCTCTATTCTGGGTATCGATTGGCTTGGACGTAGCCATCAGCCTTGCTTTCATCATCTACTTGTTGGTTCAGTGCCAGCCGATTGATTTCGCATGGAGATTGCTGGATGCGTCAGCAAAGGGGCACTGCCTGCCTCTCACAGGTCAGCTCTACATGGGGTATGCGCTGTCTATCGTGACGGCGACTCTGGATGGTCTTCTGATGGTTTCACCGTGGCTCATGATGAGAGGCCGCGGCCTGAATTCGAGACTGAAGTTGTACATTTACGGCATCTTCGGGTTGGGAATCCTGTAAGTTCTATTCCGAGGTGATTGGAACCTCTTCGCTAATAGGGATACTAGCGCGACGATTGCAAACATCATCCGCCTTGTGGCACTGGTCAAACTCAAGGGGTCAAGCGACCAGCTTCGTATGTGGTGATCATTTCACTCTGGGTTTCGAAAGCTAACAGGAGTCATAGTCGACGCCGCCCCCGTATTCAACTGGTCTGCCATCGAGGTCAGCATCGGTATCATCATTGCCGGATTGATTGAACTCGGCCCGCTTGCCGCCAAGTACAATATCAAAGGCTTCGAGTCCTACGCTGGCGACGACACCGTCATGCTCACGAAGCCAATCACTCACGAGTCAAGGGTGGATGATTACGAAATGGAGACAAGAAAAATGTGAATCAGAGACACGCTCAGTAAAGGACGTAAAAGGGTCGTGAGAAGGGCTGGCAATGGAAAATCCTCAACTGGGGCAGTGTTCTCTGGCAGAATGCTCTATGACTACCATGCCCAAAATCAGGATGCAGACCCGGAGAAGACGGTTCTTAGCTTCTTATTAACGACGAATGCTATCATGTTCTTAATAATGCAATAATTAAAAATCGCCCCGTCTCTATAGGTATGCGGATAAAAAATGTGCACAATAGGCTGGTTGAAGCCATTTTCTGCTCGATAGCTTTGCATCAGTTTGAAGAAATAAGTCAGAGCGCTCCGGTCTGCTCTCGCAAGGCTTTCATGCAGGAGCCTTTCTTGATGCAAATACTAAGTCGATTCCTATCTCAAGCTAGTAGAGCCGGAAAAAGCCGTCCACACACAAAATATAAGATTGCACAGTAACCCTTCACACAGTATGAAGACTATCAGGCATGTCATTGCCCTTCTCAAATCCAGCTAAAACCGGAGGTTCCAGGCAGGCACCCTCAATTCGGAGAGATTATTGGCAAGATCAATGAGCGACGGATGCGGCGCGGAACAAGGCTGTGTCGTCTGACGATTGGGGGGGCGGGGCGACTTGACAAGACTCACACCGGACACAATCCCACAGTGGAATTCCTTCTCTTTTGGATGCATCGAGCCGATAACTTCGGAGGAACACCAATAAGGAGTCTCTCCGCCACACCCAAATGTTCCTTCTCGTTACTTTCGTGTCTCGTTGGTTTGTAGGCTTCTCAAAAGTTGATGCTATCAGCCCTACTGGGCTGGCTGACTTTGCCCAAAATGGCGTCAAGATACATGGCTGTGAAATGGCCGTATGACCTTGGAAAGAGGCAACATCAAGGCGAAAGGATTGGCCCCCAGAACCAGCCCGGCCGAGGATGGAAGATGGCGGACATCAACCTCCTCGATGAAAACATATAAATCGAAGAGTGTTCTCGCCTCCCTTTCACCGTGTGACGATACCAGTCTTCGCAAACCAATCTATTCTTTCACTAAAGCTTGTCTTCACCTAGGCTGGCTATCAAACAACTGGTTCCCTTCAAGAGATCGTACTCAAAAGCTTTGAGGTGTTTCTCCCTGAAATGCGCAATTACGAAAAGCTCACAAGAGACAATGATCTCGAATCGGCCAAAGACGAACGTCTTCTATACGAAGATGAAGTTCTGCCCATTCACTTCATAGATCAAGCGGCTATTATTCGTAAAATCGTTTTCAACTATACCTTTCGCTATGACAAAGTCCTCGAGCCTGGAAGGCTTCACGAAAGTCTACTTCAACTTGTGCACACGCCTGGATGGCGGAAGATTGGAGGCCGTCTTCGAGCCAATGTAAGTCACGGTGCCCACTTTGATACCAACAACCCTTTTACTAGCCAGTACTGACTGTCATCGTGAAATCGTGCAGAGTGAAGGAAAACTCGAGATCCATGTACCACGCGTCTTCAGCGAGACACGTCCCGCCGTGAGATTTTCCCACGTCGACCACCTCAATACCAAGATCGACTCCCATCCTCTTGCCTCGAGGCTTCCCAAAGCAACAGGATCTACACCATCACTACACGAAGGCAGCCCAGCCTTCAAGTCTTTCGCTGCGCCCGTTGATCTGCCGAAGAACACCAACCATTATTTGAAGAGCGATGAGCCGTTGCTGTGTCTTCAGGTTACATCTTTCGCAGACGCTACATTAGTAGGGCTCACCTACCCACACTCGCTCGCCGATGCCATGGGTATATCAGAGCTGCTCAAGGCATGGTCAAACATCATAGTAGGCAAAGGCTATCTGGTGAAGCCTCTCCAGGGCACTTATCGAGATGTGCTTGACAGCGCAGGAACAGACCTCGACAAGGAAGTCTCGCAGAGAAAGTTCGCCTTAGAAACTCAGCAAACCCGTGGATTTGCCTTGGTTTCCTTCATTGCCCGATATGTATGGGATATCGCGACTCGCCGGACCGTGCAGGTCCGACATATCTATCTGCCTGCCAACTATCTGAGGCATCTGCGCCAAGGAGTCGAGCAGGAGCTCAAGGAAACACATGGTGGGGTGGTTCCTTTCGTTAGTGACGGGGACCTCATCACAGCTTGGGGTTCTCGCCTTATCATGTCGTCACGGCCATGGAAGAGGTGCAGTGCAGTAATATGCAACGTATTCGATATCCGCCGGCGCTTGGAGAATACGTTTGCGCCCGAAGGCCCATACCTGCAAAATCTGATCCTTCCAGCAACGACTGTCCTATCCAGACGGGAGGCTGCAAACGCCACGACGGCACAGATTGCTCAACATCTGCGCCAAGCCATCACAGAGCAGACTAGCGACGTGCAGGCCCGAAGTCTCCTGCGTCTCGCACGTAACTGGTTTGCAGCTCTGGGCACAATGCCCTTGTTTGCGCGGTGGGATTCCAGAGTTATTGCCTGCTCCAACTGGACCAAGGCAAAATTCTTGGATGCCGCCGATATCAGCTCTGCTGCCTCGGGCGACGTTGGCGAACACAAGCTCTGCACTGGGGTGGTGGGGAACTCTACGGCGGATGCGGCGCAAGATCGTGTCAGACCAGTCATGTTCTGGGGTAGCCCCATGAATGCGGATGACAAAACCCGTGACGCTTTTATGATCTATGGTAAGGACGAATCTGGAAATTACTGGGTTCAGGGGGTTTTGAGGAAGGAAAGCTGGGCTCTGATTGAGGAGGAATTTCGACGCTTCGGAAAGGAGTCGAAGGAATCTGTCTGACTTGGGGTACATCTTATCGGCGTAAGACTGAGCCACTGTAAGATACGAACTGGCAGGAAAGTGTACTAAATAATTCCTTGTACCCACCCCTGCTCAAATTTTGTTGCTCAAGTTTCCTTCTCCCAGGAGTTCTTAGGGCTGCATATGCAGGATGTGACTGACATTTCGAGGCAACACCAACGACATGCTAAGTCCTCGGAGTCAACACAGGAAGAGAGAACTATGTGACGGAATCGCATCGCAATTGGCCCAGCTGAGGATAAGAGGCGCTGCCGACAGTTGCACAACTGCACACGGGCGGCATAGCTACGGACGTAAACACGGCCGTAAGGCGGCACAAACATTCTAGGCTCCTATGAGCTCGCAGCCCCCACGCGCTGTTCCCATGACCATGGAAGTAAGAAAAACTCAAGTGCTCGATTCTCGGGAAGCAATTCGCCCGCCGGGAATGGCATTTTCAAAACTATGAGCAGGCCATCAGACGCCTCCGAAGTCCAAAGGGACCACATGCAATTATCTTTGCCAAGCACTGTGGCAGCCTGTCTTTACCAGGTTGGGTGTCCTGTAGAAAACTCTGGCGGGTAACTGGTCTGCCTCTTCCTCCAGACGAATGACCTCCAATGAAACTCAGGAATTTAAGCCTTGCAAATGCTTCGGTTCCCGTACTGTATACATCAAGAGCCCATAGCCCAACCGTTTCCACAAGTAGTGTTCCTCCTCCGTGCTATTGATTGTTGTAAGTATGAATCTTGCGTTGCTTCCGTTTCCGGTTTCTAACGGCTGCTGAGGCGTCCCCCTGATAGGGTCAGGATACTCGACCTAGCCCATTAAGATGTAGAATACCACCTCGTCGGAATGACGCTTTTGCTTCAACGAAAAGAAACTTAGACGATGATAGCCGGACAGACTTCAATTGGGTTACGGTAGAGTCAGATCATAAGCCCCCTTACGGTGTTCTAAGGGACATGACGCAGATCTTTGCCTTGCCTGGTAAACGGAACTTGGGTCATGCAGAATTCTGACTCTGCGCCGGCGACGTCTGGATCCGATACGCCGGTACTCAATAACACATTTTCCAAGATGCCCTGCGGTAACTGGGCATCCGTGCACATCCATTCCGACCAGACGTTGAAGAGTTAAGACAGTGAGATCGACAACTCTGGGAATGGGTGTCTCAACGCATTCGGCAGAGCTAATCCCCAGATCGCCAAGATCTACCAAATCTTCAGGGATTCTGTGAACCCCAGCCTACTGTAAAAAGAAAGCTGCAGACCGAATGCGTTATTCTCAAGTCTTAGTGCCGAGAACTTTGACAACTATGGAAGTTATACCAAAAGTAGAATCTAACGACTAATCTGCAGATGGGGCTTTCAGAGCTTTCTAGACATCTATCACTTCTCATCGAACTCTAGATATGTCTCAATTAGTTTATACTCTCAGCTGAAAAGAACGCTAGGACGTATTTCCGACATCATTCTTCGATCGAGGTTCAAGTTATACGGTTGTAAGGATACGCTTGCTTCACTGCGTGACGAGCATGATTGCGGGTTGCAATGGATGAGATCCTCCCGACTGCCGGCCCCTTGCTGTTCGATACAGAGGTGCACCCAAAATGGAGCCGTCGCGGCTGCGTGTAGATCTTTTTCTGAAGTCATGCAAAGATGGATACGTCTGCTTGGAATGAGAAGGAGAAGTTGACTCTTCCTTCGATCCCTGCGCTCTGACACGCTTCTCAGAGCCGCAATACATGGGAGTCCTATTTGCATGGGTACTAAGGCATGAATGTGGAATCAGTCGAATGGAAAACTGGTGTACTCTTACTATCCCTTGCGGTCTTCGATATGATGGTGGCACTCGGGAGTAAAAGCCAGCACGTGGAATGAAGGTAAGGGACGTAAGATTGTTGCTGTGTGGAGTGCGCTTCAACAGACGGAATGATGCTGGAATTGAATGATCAGAATGACTAGAGAGACTGTAATGGATCAATGTAGATCATAGACAACTCCGTCGTTCAGATATTTTGGAGACGGCGAGGAATACTGCATATGCAGGGGATGACTTGGTTGCCCTCATTCCTTGAGGTCTGAGAAGGACTAGTGAAGCTGTTACTGACGATCTCGAAGTCCTTCGACTGGGTATGTGTGGAGATAGCATCTCTTGAACAAGTCTTCTCGAAGTAGGATCGAAATGTATAAAGAGCACTGCTTGTTCCTCCTGACAAGACTTCTTTTTCCTTCATCATCACACTCAGCAAGCACATCTCATCTAATCACCTTCTCTTCACTCTTCAGCAATTCTCATCCATCTTAATCAGCATCATCTGCCACTTCCCAATCCCGACCTCAAAGTCTACCTCAATCTTCTCAAAATGCAGTTCTCCGCCGCCGCCATCACCGCCATTGCCATGGCCCTCACCGTCACCGCCGCTCCTGGCACCACTGCTCCGGTCAAGAGAACCCTCGACACGCTCACCTACGCTGAAGCCCAGAACGTCTGCGGCCAGAACCTCAGCGTCAGCTGCTGCAACCAGGTCAGCGCTGACACCAATGTCAACGACAACTCGGGATCCGGAATCCTCTCCGGCATCCTGGGTGGCGTCCTCGGCAATGGCGGCTTGAAGCTTCTTGATGGATGCTCCTCCATTGGAGCTGGAAGTGAGAACCTCTTATACCAACTATCTCTGTCGAGTGCTCACACTTTGTAGTTGCCAACGACCTCTTGAACAGCAAGTGCAAGCAGAATGTTGCCTGCTGCAAGTCTGATGGCAACACCGTGAGTTCCCGCCGACTTAACATAATCATCGCAGATTTCAGCTAACTTTTGTCTCTTTAGGCTTCCGGTCTTGTTGCTGTCCAGCTTCCTTGCATCCCCATCTCTGGCCTTTTGTAAAGAAGTCCAGAGGTCTCCCTCTTCAGATTGATGGTTGGTCAACTATTTGGAACTACGGGACTATTCGGCTGAAGGGCACGATGAAGGATTAGTGGTGCTGTATGAGTTCGAGGCAACAAGATGGGTTCGATTCGCGATCAGGGTTTTACTCTGCTAAGTAGCTTTCAAAGGCTTTCAAATATACTTATTTGCTTTCAAACTTTTGCCACAAATAATATCCGAGAAAAGTCAAATGAGTCCTGGGCAAGAGTCTTAGATTCATGCCGGATGGATCATGGATCATGGATGTCAGTATGACGAGTTCCACTTTCCATGGTCAAGATTCTCATCCATATTTCAAGCAATTCCGATTGGCTTTTCTTTTCCGGACAATAAAAGCATTACTGAGACATAGCAGGCTAATGTACCAACAGCCTAAATGTCCTACCTCTAGCTAAGATATCAGTACATCTAGGGGAAATGCTTACAGGGTATATCGGGAATCACGGACAATTAGTCAAACCGAAAATAATGGCTCAAGACTACGCATCTTTTTACTAGAGACAGGGTTGATATTCAATACTGAAAAGAACTAAGGGGTAAGGTCGAAGAGCCATCCGAACGCTTCGTTCCCTAGGTGGTGGGTGCCTGACTAATCGGGTTCGTCGGAATTCCGAAGAGTCCTGTACTTGAGCGACGAATGAATACAACCATATGTCTAACTCAAGCGACTTTGGAATTATATCCGAAGTCCCATGCAAGCCTTGCCACGAGTAAGCTCCCGCGAATATTGCGGGGTGCAGCGCGTGCGGAGGTCGGGACGAGCAACAATGCCGTCGCTAAGGATAGTCGAGTCGATCTCTCAGGAGAGGAGCACGCCTATCTCCTAAGTCCCCGAAAGCGATCATCGTCGCTCTGTCTCGTGTTATAAGATGGACTGAGGACCACTTCTGATACTGATGGCAGAAGAGACATCAAATGCTTCTGCGATACACCCTCTATTCAAATCACCTACCCACAACATTTATATCATGAACCCCTCGAGCTCTCAAATCTCCCAAGACAGTTACCATTGGATCTCGAAAGCAATCGATACTTTGGATCCCGAAACAGACTATGAGACTATATGGCGTCTGACATCAAGCTACCAGCTTTCTGACTTCGCCAACAACTTGATCTACACTCTCACCTTCCCCAATTTTGTCATCCCCCTGCATGGAGCAGAAGTGGTGTGGCGCTCTGACGGCGGCAAAGTCGTCCACAAAGCCGTCGACAGAGTCGACAAGACGGAGTACTACAATATGGCGTGGTGGTACTACGGCCCCAGCGATCAACGTTGCCGAGATGCCGCTGAGAGAATCAACCAGCTACACGCCGGCCTCGCCCGACAGTATCCTGGAAGATTTTCCCACAATGAGGACTACGTTTACACCCTCACCTTCAGCGCCGTGTTGATGCATCGCCTGAGGATACGGCTTGGTCTGTCAGGTTTCACGGAAAAGCAGCAGATTGCTGCTCACCACTTCTGGCGTGACATGGGCCCTCTTTTCAAAGTCGAAGGCAAAGGAACTGTGAAGGACTACCCAGCAGATTTCGATGGGTGTATAGCTTTCTGCGAGGCGTATGAGAACACACCTCGAGAGTACAACGAGAAAGCTCGATACATCGGTCTATCCATCTTCAATCTTTTTGCCTATCGTTATTTCCCCCCAGGCCTGCGATGGTTCGGCATGGCGTTTCCCCGGACGCTTTCTCTGCCGACGACGCTGAGCGCGTTTCGCATCGAGCCGGCCAACCCCTTACTTGCAGCCATAATCATCTTCATCGTCAGAGCAGTTTTTCTAGTCACAGAGGTCTTGCTGCCCGACCCCAAAGTCTCATTCTTTGAAAGGTTGGAGACTCTGCCAGAGGTAGAGACACGCAAGCGAAAAGAGGAGACGAGGGCCCTGGACAAATCCTATGAGCAGTTCATCATGTTTCAGTTGAGCGGTCCCGGCCGTCCGTTTAGCGCAAAAGTGCAATAGATATCCTAGCTGAGAAGTTGCTACCGCGTGTCCGCCTGACAGAAATAATGACTTTCACTTGACTTCTCCATGATCTATCATCTAACAAAGAACAATGAACATCTAAGTCTCGCTCTAAGTCCTGGTTGTCTCCTTCTTGAGCCAATCTCGCCAGCTCTGGTCAGCAAGAATGTGTCTAACTCTAGCTTCGAGCCATTCTGTATTTCCCCAGAAGCCCCAAGATGCCTGGAAGCGACACCAATCGACCAAGGCAGTCTCCCAGTGTCGCACGAACGTATCCCAGTCATAAGTATCGGGCCCCTTGCCTGTCGGCTTTTGGCTCAGGAGAGTACTTCTGTATTGCTCCAGAATAGTTCTCTCGCCTTTATCCATGGCTAGCTGATCCGGTATGTCTTCGTGTTGAGTGAGCATCTCAATGGGGACCGAACAGGTGAATAGCTTGGCGAGATCGCAGCCGCCAATCCCCAGCCCAGCGTACTGAAAGTCGAAGAAGGCCACCTTATCGCCAGTTTTGGTGGTGAAGAGGTTCTCCGACTTTACGTCGCCGTGAATATATGTCTCAAACGGCCTGCCAGATGGTGTGAGGAAGTCGGCAACTAGCTCGGCAATTGATGAGGATGAACCATCGACGGGGTCGCAGAATGCCGAAGACCATTCGGAATAGTCGTCTCGGCATAGCGATCCGTATTCCTTCCGTCTGGTAGCAAGGTACGTGTAACCTCCATTCAGCCACATCTTGGGCTCCGTGACGCCATCACCAACCTCCCTTCGTTTCGCTTCTTCAAGTGGGGGCAGCACAAATTGGCCAAGGTCATCCGGTAGCGATGCCCAAGAGCTGCTGTGATATTTTGCCAGCCAGTCCAGCGCAGCATTCACCTGCTTGCGGTTGAGGACCAATCTCTTTTCACCAGCCACGGGAAACTCTGGCCGCAGGTCCGTGATGATGGTGGCGGTGAGACCCTCAAGCTCTTCCTTGCGTGGCTTACCCTCCATGTCTAGAGTGGAAGCGAGGCACTTTGCGACAGCGACATCATCTGATAGCCGCGGTGCAATCTCTTGATAGAAATATTGCTCGACCTCATAGCTCAACATCTTGCGCAGGTGGCCCTCATCTGTTCCCTTGGCGCGTGGCGGTGAGATGATTTTGATGATGAGGCGATATGTCCCATCTTCTGCTGGACGGATAGGTAGCGGCTTTTGGTCCGAGATGGCGACACCATTGAAATTGGCAATCTTTGCAGTGAGGGCACAGATATGGCCGTAGCCCGCCCAAAGAGTCTGAAGCTCAGTGAGGGAGACGAGTTCAAGGCCTAGCCATGAGAGCATGATTTCGGCGACGCGACGAGGCTGCTTGAGAGACGCCATGGTGACGGAAAACGTGGTCGCTGCAAGTACCAGTTGAGTATTGCCGATGCTGGTTCCCGTGAACGGTGCCTGAGCGAGGAGAGGAGTGAAATTGGATGAGAGTTGATGAGATTCAGCGAGCGCCACTTCCATTTCGAGAATGTTTCTCAGGTGGGTCCCGACGGCTTCGCTCAAGCTTCCTTGGACGCAATGAGGTAAGTATAAGAGATGGTTGCAATGCGAACATCCGAATCTCGAAACCTGTAAGAGCCGCTTAGAAAGCATAAACTCAAAAGCAAGGTTCTAGACTCGTCAAGGCAGCCGAAAGTGAGTTATCAATCACCTAATATCTCATGCAAGTTTTGGCTCGGCGCTCATCCGCCGTATGAATACACCATGCTCTAACAGCTGGCGCCACCTGGACAGGGCAACTGGGGCAAAATCCGAGCACGAACATGCCAACCATCGTCATCGTGAACTTGTTCACTCTCGCGATCTCCCCATAAGACCCTGATCGTTCACCAGTCAAGGCATACAAGTAGAAGAACAGCCGGGAAGCGAAACGGCGTGGTAGTTTGAGACCATCTCAGCAATTTGCCCCTGGGCCATCAAGGTGCCTTGCAGCCCCACCATAAGATATTCCTACTAAAGGCAGACTTCAAGACGCCGTCGAGAGCTCCCGTATCAAGAGCATAGAAATCCTTCATAACAAACTCATTCCGTCTTTCTTACCCAAAAAGAATATGGGCCGAACACAACCATCAGTTGGGCAGCCACCAGCGGCCTTTCGGAAAGCCGCCCGAGCCAAGAAGGCCAAGGTTACCCTCAATCAGCTAATTCCATCGCTCCTCCCTACGCACCCACGGGCACGCCGCGGAATCGATTCAACTGAGCTTATAATTGAGCCAAAGTCAGCGACCAAAGAGACTCGAGCCCCCAAGACAGAAGACGCTGTTGTTCCGGAGACCAATGAGGCACTTCGCGTCAGACTTCGAGTAGCCGACACTCTCGTAGCTGCTCACGCGTTGGTGACTGAGAACGCGGGACCGGATCGCTCGGTGGACGTAAGCAATAAAGAGACGCGGGTAGCGATTCTCAACATGGCCTCACCTCTCACGCCGGGGGGTGGCTTCGTCAACGGGGCCGGTAGTCAGGAAGAGTCGTTGTGTATGCGGACTACGCTGCTACCCTCTCTCAAAGATGAGTACTATCGTCTGCCAGAGCTCGGTGCTGTCTACACACCAGATGTACTGGTTTTCCGAGATGAAGATGCGGACGACGTGTTGGAGAAAAAAGACCGTTGGTTCGTGGACTGCATCAGCGCTGCCATGTTGCGGAATCCAGAAATTGAGCGAGACGAGGACACTGGCTTCAGCCACTACGTTCAAGAGAAAGACAGACAACTCATCCTGGAAAAGATGAAGATTGTGCTGCGAATATGCCAGCTGAAAGGTATCAAAAAGGTCGTGCTTGGTGCTTGGGGATGTGGTGCCTACGGAAATCCTGTCGCCGAAGTGGCCAAAGCGTGGAAAAAGGCCCTGTTACCGAGGAACGACGGAAAAGGGAAAAAGAAGGGGAATAAAGAGACATGGGCCGGGATTGAAGAAATTGTCTTCGCAATTAAAGATGCCGGTATGGCCGACGCCTTCGAAGAGGCTTTCGGAAAGGGTATTGAGAGAGACGTGGAAGCTGAGGTGGATGAATCCGATGAGGAGATCAATATCGCTCAACGGGACAAGGAGGAGCTTCAAGCAAGGATTGCCGAGTTAAAGCAGCGCATCGATGCCACACCAAATCCACAAGTCAAGACGGGTCTCAACTCAATTCTCGCTGGATTGATAAGCCAACTGCCCGCTGATTCGGGAAAAGACACCGATGAAGACGAGGATGAGCGAGAGGGATCAAAGGACGACAGCGGCGAAAGTGACGCAAACTCTGAGCAAGCATGAATCTAGGCCTGTATTTTGAACTGTTGAAAAGACTATTGCCCCTCAAGGCATGCGCCAACTCAGTGTCGTATTCTGTTCCCTTTATTCATGATCAAGAAAGGCTTCAAGACCGATTAGACAATGGCCCCAAGCCAACTTCGGAAAAAGTAGGCCTATGTGTTATCCGCCATAGGTCCGTGATATGTGGGCGATCAGCTATGATTTGTACAACCTCGGGCAATAGCTCCCCCTGGTGAGTAGTTCTGCCGGTATAGCCGATGGACCGATAAAGTATTTCCGGCCGAGGCCATCATGGCCAAGTGAAGGGCAATTGCCATCGGATGTCTGACATGGTCATCTGATCTGGTCAGAGCTGACAGGGGTACTTTCGAACATTCCTCTCAAGCCTCGCTAGCTCTAGTATCATTCATATTGGCAAAACAACTTCGCAAATGGCGTCATCTGCCTCACTGTCATTAAAGAAAGACCAGAAAGTCCAATACTGGTTCACAGTCTCCAGTGCATGAGGTTATCCTGATCGGTTGTGACTGAACCTACACGACTCTCACAATCCTTCTTTAGTTGGTTGCACGGGAGCCAATAAACTTCATGTTGTCGAAGACACAAGGTAAATGTAATCTTAAAACTCTTCAATAGTTGTATTGCAAGGTGTTATTGAGCATTAACCATTCAACTTTCTAGAGCCCTAATGCAACTAAGGCTATCATCTAAGCATAGATCCCTCATCTTCTACAGGTTGTGGACGGCGCTGTTCCTAGTCCACCTACGGAACGTCTTGCCATAGAAGTAAAAGATTGCCCCACAAGCACAGAAAAAGACGGTCAAAGCCATGTTGGTCATGAAAGCCGGTATGAAACTGTTCGCGTCAGCATGTGGCATCGGCCAAAGGAGATAAACTTGACTGACCCTGCCTGGATTGTCCAAGGTGTAATGAATTTGCCCATGCCGTATCCCCACACGTTCTTATTCACCGTGATAGCAACCATGAGAGGACCAGTCACTGGCTTGTAGCAATCGATGGCGTAGGTGCTGGCGATACTGGGCAGAGCAGCAACCTGGATGCCTGCGCTGGCGTAGCCGAGGACTACAATGATGGGCCAAGACCAGTGATCCTGGTACCCAATAGCTGTAATAATATTGCCAAATACCATGATGATAACGAAAGGAATCATGGCGGGGAGACGCATCTCAGGCTCGCGGATGCCGTTGTTTCGAGCAGTCGCGCGGGCAGATACCCAATCGCTGAAGGGGCCAGCGGTGACGAGTCCAATCAGCGCACCAACAAGAACTGCTAGGTTGGTAAAGCCTAAGAGAGTGAGTCTCCTATAACGGAATGGGATGCAAATTCGGGTTTAGAAGGCTTACCAATAGACTGCGAACTCATGTTATAAGGGGGTGCTGCGAATACTTGAGACTGCGTGAGGTTTAGGATGAGGAAGTTGCTGCAGCTCCAGCTCACAACAAACGAAGCAAACACTACAATGGGGAATCCAAATAGCTTCCAGGGAGTCCATAGGTCGAACCAGATGGTCTTAAGGGGCGAAGAGTTGCGCTGAAACAGGTACCACTGCTGCTTAGAGGGTGTTCCCTTGCCAAGGTACGGGTCCATGTCCGCAGTCCGGGTTTGGTTCAATGTCTCCTCAGCAACTTCGATTGTGACAGCGTCCTGGGTTGGCTGAGAACGAATCCACCTTGTCTCTGGGAAGCCAAAGAAGGCATAGACAATGGAGGCAGCTGTCAGCGCAACGTTGAGCCACCAAAAGTTCTGCCATCCAACATGATCCGCCATCGGGCCCGCAATGACTGGCGCAATCTGGAAATGTTAGCCACGAACACTTCCTGCTGTCGTTTACGGTAGACCCACCATCAAAGATCCCATATAGACAACCCAGTATAGCGTGTTCCAGCGGCCACGGTCGTGCAGGAAGTAAATATCGGCGATGACTTGCGGTTGCAGAGTCTCTGAGGGGCCAGCACCGATTCCGTTGAGTCTGCAATACAGTCAGCCTATATTTCCATGGTTAGACATATGAAGGAGCAGGACTTACACGCAAGCACCCATGAAAGAGCCATATGTTGTAGCTTTCGCTCTGAGAACATGGGACGCGAGGCAGACGAGCTGGGAAACAATGAAGACAGGGCGACGACCAAATGAGGATGAAATCGGAGCCCTTGAAAAGTTAGCCACGGCCTCGAAAATCCAGTCCTCCTTTCGTGGTCTCACCAGATAAAATTGCTGAATCCAAGCAGTAAAATGGTCACTCCCGTAAACTGAATGACGTCTTCGAGGTTGCTATTGTAGTCTCGAATGAGGTATGGAAACATGGAAGCAAGAGACAATGGAGCAAAGCCTTGCGAGAAGGTCATCAGAGAGACCGCGCCCAATGTAGACCACTTCCAAGATGCTTTCCAATTCAAAGGGTCGTGCGGATCCTGGGATGGTTGAGGGACGAGAACCACTGTCGAGTGCTCGCTCTTGATGAGATGATGCTTCAACACATCGGCCATGACCTCAGTGCCAGGCACCACCTCGATGTGAAGCTCATGCTCAATCTCCTCGCGGGTCTGAAATGACATGTTAGCGGAAATTCGTCCATGACACAATGCTGGACTTACTGTCTTTTCCGGATCTTTCGACATGGTTACGAGTTTTTGGCCTGTGATTCTACGTCTCGGACAGTGATGCGATCAAAATTCACAGTGATTAGTTTGATCAAACGCTGCAACATCGGGGCGAGGACGTGAGTAATAAATGTAGACATCGGCCTGGCCACATCGACCGATACAGTCGAATTACCGACGCGATCTGCGACATCAACCTGTCGACGGCACAACTACGCGTCTAGTGTTACCATGATCCTGGGTCGACCAACCTCAAACATTCGGCATGTCGTCGCGGCAGCTGCCTACGCTCAGATATCAAGAGCCGAACCACTAGGTTGAACTCTATGAGCTCTCCCCACGCGACGGCAGGGGGAAGAATGCGGGGAAATCTGGAGGGAGGCCTAGATGGGGCAAGGTGAACTTCAGCTCATCTGACAGGCTCTCATGAAATCTATCACCGGAGCTAAGGTCAAGCCGTCATCCCAGCATTACATGGGGTTGACCAATCACCCCATCGCCATTTTTGAGGAGGGTGTGCCGACAGCTTAGCATCAGTCCTATACATCCAAATCGGCACCATGTTGCCGGCATCAAGATAGGGGATGTCCACCCCAATCCTCCGACAATTTTTTGGAAGGAGCTTTATCATTCCGTGGGAAAATACTCGCACGCATCTTGGCGATTCTTGCGGTATTGGTCGATACGTCTACCAGCGCAGCAAGTCTGCGGGTCAAGATCAAGCTTTGATAAGATCGCGGCTCCTTTCAACCTCACGAGGACAGCTTCTTAATCACTGTTTCAATCCGAACCTACGTTGCACGGAAGTAAGCGCGTGGGGAAGAGCCTTTGCAAAACGGCTTGAACTTTGCCGAGAAATCTCCTCTTGAGGATTCCAGGGTGAAAACCGTTCTCATTTGGTCTAGACAAAAATGGCCAAGCGAAGAATTCTAGTCCGTCGTCTCTGGGTGCCGACGCTAAGGTGCCGACAGAAATTCGATGTATTGACACACCATGGTCTTTGGAGAAGCCGTTCACTTCACCCATAGGCGATTTAATAGATATTTCGAAGTGCCGAAGGAGTGAGTTGACTATTAAGCGCGACAAAGAGCCTAGACCAGCGACGTGTTGCCCGTTTCTCTGTTGGTCCAGGTGATCCGAAGGTAAAAGAAGGGCATGTTCCGGCTGGGGAGAAAATGGGGAAGAATAATGACTCAGTATCTACCATTAGCCCGATTCATAATCTAGCGTTTTGAGGTCATGGAATCGTGCGAAACCTTGTCCTACGAGAGCTTCGGAGCATCAAAGCTTGCTTCATTTTCTGAATCACCCCATCTGCATATAACTCCCTGGAGTTTCAGTGCATGGCCCAAGATCCCGGATATTTCTCGCCCTACGGACTCCACGCCGGTATAGAGGCCAAATTTCAGCAAATAGGAGTAAAATCGAATTCGCATCTTGTATCCTCAAATCTGATCGAGAATACCACCCTCATAGATGTCAGTCCGTGGCCACAGCAGATCCCCTATCCAATCGGAATATAGCAACATTACAAAATTCATATGCAGGTGACGACGCTTCATTTAGCAAACAAATCGATGGGCCCAACCCGAGGAAGCGTTTTGGCCATAGCTGGCCATCCCGTCCACTTGGGATGCACTAGACATCCCTCCAGGCTACTCGGCAGTCTTCTGGGGAGTATACCATGCCCCATCTATCTCGCCCTAGGTACTTTCACGCACCCTGGTTATGAACGATGCCCCTGGATCCGTGCCTCTTGCTGTCGGCACCATTTAGGTGTTCACGGTCAGCTGACACTTTAGCATCCCCTAGCTTAATCTTTATCCAAATTGGCCATTGCAAAGGTTAATTTTCTCTGGTGTATTTGGTGGAGCAAGATTAGCTTTGTGTATGATGGCGTCCTGAGTCGTCGCCGGCAATTGTATCTTTGACAAAAGGCTTCTTACTCGCTATTAGCAGTTGGCCTGCAACAATGTCCATCAAGCACGGGTCAGCACCATGAACTCCATGATAACATTGACCTTTGAAGTTGAATATCTACTATGGCAGACTCGCATAACAGCTCTCAAGGATTGGCATCGGCTCAAAGCATAAAGATGAGTGGGCTACAGTGGTCGCCAACAAGTCTCCAATCCAGACCGTGGTGTTCAGCCTCTGCTTTTCATACGAGGCACGCACTTGACGACCGAGTAAATTCATTTTGGGCGCACCTCAGTCAGTAGATAGGCTCTACTCAGGAGGTTTGAACCGAACATGAAGTTCAATGGGTCTGGAAAGACCACCAGCTGCGTGTGGGCTCTAGCTGATACAGGAATTTCAGATCAGTCAATTCCCCATTCGCCAGGGTGGTAAAGGTAAGTGAGTGCCTTCATCCTACCGTGAGTCATGTGAGTCGCTTGAACAAGGGACCTGAGTAATGAGAGTCAACTAGTTTCATACGTTCATCGCTGTAGCTGGCTTTTCGAGAAGGAACGCCCACATATATATACTCTTTCATACGTGATAACTAATCAACGTGTCTTTGCATATTGCAATAGGGCCGATGAATGGCGTTCTCCGAGAGGTCCACGAATCAGATCTTTAATTTATCTTTCTTCCACAATCTTCATTCATGTCCGCAGATCTGAGTCCCTTGCAGGTTTCAGCCCACAAGTCAACCAAGCTGACTAGAGACAGCAGCCATCTTATTTATTCCCTCTATATGTTTGAATATAATTCCTGTTGCACCATCTTCGCAGAGGATCATGCTCTTTAAGTCGTCAATTACCTCTGCTTCTTCCCTCGAAATCAGAAATGAGATTTTCCAATGATCTAGTCCGGCCCTTCCGACAAAGTCCTTGTCCGAAACGGTCTGCATTCGAATTGCTCTAAATTCCAGGTAGAATTCTGATGGCAAATTGGCTTCAAATATCGAATGAATAACTTAGTTGAGATATACGACTGAATTGTGGCAGCCTGTGCAACCCAAAACTCAGTGCAGAAACGGAAGCAAGTTTGGGGGCCATTGGTGACGAAGATGCTAACGGATCAGTCACAACTGGCTTGATGAGATTGGCCTAGGGGCTAAGTCGCGGACAAGCTAGGTGCTATCTGACAAGTCCATTGGTAACAATAGCAGGCTTACCCGATAGGCCTAACGCACACATTCCACCACGAGCGCGCAATGAGTATCATTACAATTGAAGCTTTCTGCTCAAAAAAGATCCTTTGCTGCTGCAATCCTTTGCTGCTGCAAATTCCAATCAACAGCAAAGAGGCTGCAGTCTCAGAATCAACGGACTAACACGATAATTCAGAACCAACATTGTGCCGGTCTTACTCAGCACGAGCCGCCTCCGGGCTCCGGCGTCCGAGCATAGAGAGTGGAACGGACAATTAGCGGGTATTGGCGGAGCTGGAAGCCCGAATCTGGTGACTAAAGCGCCTTGAACCGCCAGTAAAATCGGCAAAAGACGTCAAGACCGAGAACGAGATTCTCGCTAGCTTTTAGGCTACGCAAAATGACGCACCTGCATGCAATTAGTAATGCAGAATCTCGGCTCAAGCGTGTAGGGAAGTGAAACGGCGAATTGAACCCGCTTACATAACGAGGTTTCGTTACAAGAGTTGTTGGGCACTAGGTACACTTCGACTATCCAATTGATGAGGATGCTAGTCAGCAAAGTGACTTCAACGGCCTGATACCACCTGTTAATTCCGGTACAGGTCCGATTCCAGTTGTGGTGTGATTTCTGACTGCTGAAGAGTCGAGAACAGCTATGCGCCTCTCCGCTCGGTGATGAGGCTCGGCCTCGAGGATATCCGAGGAATCAGACGATGCACGGGAAGAAGCAAAGCAGTTCTGTCAACAGGGTTTACATATATATATCGTCAGAGACTTACTTATTATCTCAGAATACACTACTTCAAACATCACAGCCATCAATCCGCATTTTCTCAACGACTTTCTGGGTTAATCTGTACCGATCAAACAATATCAAGCTGATCCCAAGCTCAAACTTCACCATGACTGAAACCGTTCTTGTCTTTGGTGCCACAGGCAACATTGGCGTGGCAGTCATTATCGGTGCTCTGCGCGCCAAACGCCATGTCATCGCCGTTGTGCGCAGTCAAGCCAGTGCCGAAAAGATGTTCAAGTACGTCGGCAGTCGCGACAACATCACCGTAGTTGAAGCCGATCCTACTTCCGAGGACTCTCTCCGGGGAATTGTCGACCAAGTTCGTGCTGGCAAACTTCCTGCCTTCCAGCATGTTTGGGCCTCGCGTACGTACTTCAAGTATTTACAAGAATGTTGGCCTTTGGGTCCTCACAGGCTAAACTGACGTCTATGACAGCTGGTGGACTCTACTGGGAGACTCCAATTTTGGAGATAGACCCTGCGGCTCTTCGTGAGGTTCTCAATGTGAACTTCGAGTCGTACTTCTGTAAGAAAACCCCAAAATTCGTGTAGAATACCTAAAGTTAGACTGAAGACTCTGATTGCTAACGATGCATCTAGACGCCTATCGCGTGACAGTACCCTACTTGCTTGAGCAAGGGTTTGCTGGCAGCACTTGGACCTTATGTACGGGTGCTCAAGGCGACTATGGTTTCCGCGCTGCTCCCGCAGTGACGCAAGGTGCACTCTTCAGCTTCGCCATCGCCGCGTCTCGGGAGAATGAAAAGACAAACATCCGCTTCAACGAGGTCTACCTCGCCTACCGAGTTCAATTTGAAGTCGACGAGGAAGCCAGAAAGGCATGGGCTGGAGCTCACTTGACCACCTGCGACGAGTTTGCTCCGTTGTACCAGCAGCTTCTAGATAGAGAGGATATCAGGGGCAGCAGAGTCAAGGCCATCACTCCGAAGGATGTTCTCGAACTCTCCGTCGAAAAGAGAATTAAGGCCTAATCGTGTAGGACGATGGCTACATATAGTTTAGGACATTGATGATACGTAATTTGAGAGATGCCTAAGAATTTCCCTTTTCCACATGAGCCAAAACACACATAGTAATAACTGGCCTTTGCAAATCACGCATGGTAGATAGCGTTCGATTATGGATTGGAACACTGTCTGAATCGTGAGGAACACAAGGAATTTCTTGTGGCTCTCATGTGAAAAGTACAAGATCACTTGCTTTAGACAAGTTGACTGGCAGATTGTCAGCGATTACTGTCATTTTGATTACCTAGCTGTATGCTCGTGAGTGCTTCCACAATCGATGAGCAAGATAGGTTCCCGAGCGAATGACGCTTATTCGAGTACGACCTGAACTTAAGCCTAGTCCGAGTCCGGGCCGGATCCGACAGTTCGGTTTCGTATTTGACACACAAGCTCACAATAACCAGAGTCCAAAAGATATCACAAGACTTGAGTTATCAGTGCCCCGCTATGTGAGACTTTCATCATCAAACCGTATGCTTTTATTGAAGAGGTTCACTCTCCGCAACACTGCCATGATCGACGGCCAACGGATGACATAATCGAAGTGATCGAATCTGACTTCAACCGCAGAGCCGAACCCTCTAGCCCCTCGTACTTTTGAAACAGGGACGAAAGCGGCTTGGTGTGGCTTTGCATCTCACAATCTCCATAACACTGCGATGTCGAGTCAGTCACGATAGCCGACGTACACATCGTCTGATCTTGGGATGGTGGTCAAGGCCAAGACAATGTTACTCAAAGCCTAATGTTCACGCCAAATGAACATAGGAATAATTTTGAAAGAGAAATACGAAAGATCCACAGATTCGACCGGGCTTACCTTGCGGAGGAGGGATGACGGGGAATGAAGCCAAGACAATGTCCGTGGATGCGATGAAGAAGTTCAGACGAATCACGCTCTACATGCGACAATCCCAGACAAATCAGAAAGAACTTGCGGCTACTTAGCTGGCCGTGGTAGCCGTCCCGTCGTTCGTCACTGCGGTCTTGGGACGGGATGGCAAGGGAACCTGCGCATGTATCCCCAATTTTAGCAGCAACCCACGCCTCATGACACGCGCGCTTCACGATTAAGTTGGTTAAACTTTTTGACACTGCAGGTTGTCCTTGTTCGAACAAAACTGGTTCTAACAATGACTGGAAAAAAATGTTGATCTTCAATTTCCATTCATTTACTAGAAGCTGAAGCGTCTGAATAGATTGAGCAGATCCAGTCTAGCTTTGCGGCTCCTCCGGGCCATCTGGAGAACGATGGTGAGGATGAAAAGGAAAGACCAGATACAAATATCGGCGAGCGGATAACTGAAAGCTGATAAGTTTTGCTAGTCTGTTTGAAGTCAACACTCGTTCGAAACCCACATTCGTTTGATACTATGTTACAATCACTCACTCCTTTGACTGTGTTAGGCTCACTGCTTCTGGCCTCTGGCCAGGGCGCTTTGGGTCATGGCCTTTCCGGCCCTGCCAAGCGATCAATTGAGCAAACAATGCACATGTCCAGCAAGCGGGCTTTAGATGGTTTCTATGTCATCGATCAGCAGGCTGGAAGTGAATGGGGCTGCAGCGAGGAAAAGATCGCCGCGTTGGAAGGTGCCGTTAGAGACACGCAAGCATTAGCCTTCATGGCTTCTACTGTACTGGCTGAAAAAGATTCCGAGTTTTCTGATGCATATATCTTTTGGTTTGGTGGTAAGTTTCGACTTCTACATCTAACAGTTCCCGTAGGATGGTCTGAGTCTGACAGTTGGATACAGAGGACAACACCAAGGCTGCCACAAAGAACTCCATCAAGACCCTCAACTACGATCCTGTTCAAGATTTCCTCAAAGCCCCAGGCGCACGCAACCGCGTCGATGATATGAGAATAGACAACCTCAGTCCTACCGGGCTTACATACATGTGTGCTGCCGCAGATGATAGCATGTGCGCCGGCGGGATGGCTGCAGCAGCCCACCAGCACGGCGCCGGAGGGTTATCAGGCCACTCCATTGTTTTATGTGACCGGTTCTTCGGAGCCAACTCACAACAAGACATGTTGCGGACTTGGAAAGACACGCGGAGACTGAGCGCCTCTTCCGGCTTTTGGTTGCTGCACGAAGTTCAGCACCTAGGAGCCATCGTTAGTGATGGTCGACGATGCGTCGATGTCCCTGACCCTAATGAAACTGATGGCAGCGGCTGCTATGATGCTAATTGGTAAGTAAGCATCGATTTTTATACGATCTCTGAGCTTACAAACTGTTAAGAGCTTTGCTAATTGACTAAAAGCTGTTCGAGACTCAAAGGCGCCGATAAGATTAGAAACGCCCAAAACATGGCTTTCTTTGCATTGGAGGTCATGGCAGATCCTCAGAGCGGTGCGGCACCCGGACAGTCATGCACCATCATGAAAAGAGACACGGGTAGTGTCTTGCTCGGAGGACCCGAAGATCTTATGGCGAGAGCAGACTACAGCCCAGATGCTAAGTATGAGGCAATGCTTCGTAGGCAGGCCAAGGCATCGTCGACCTGGATAACTACACACCGAAACAGCACAAGCTCTCGTGTCCCGACCACTTATTCGAGCAAAGTGTCGGTACCGTCTTCGAAGAGACCTACCGGGTCAGCGTCGCCTTCTCGCTCAAAGCCACCGGTGCCTGCTGCATCTTCGGGACCCCGATCCAGCAATCCAGCGCGCCCATCGTTATCAGGACCTCAGTCCAGCAACCCGGTGCAGCCATCATCCTCAGCACCTCAGTCCAGCAAGCCAGTGCCACCACCGTCCTCGGGGCTCCGGCCCAGCTCCAAGGGTCCTGTCTTCACCACCAGGCCACCTGCTCCAGTGAGCTCCTTTTCAGGCGCTTCATTCTCCTACTCGTACTCTACAGCCCCGCCAACCACTGAGGAAGGTGGAGTTCCCGTTATTCCCATCGTTCCCGTTCCGATACCTATCGCACCAGTTGCGCCTGTTCCTCCGATCGTGCCTCCAGTTGGTGGTGGCGGCGGCGGCGGAAACGGCGGCGATAATGGCAACAACGGCGAGAACTCCAAGCCTGCAGAGTCAAATCCCCCAAAGACCTCCGAGCCTTCATCCCCGTCTACCTCGTTGCCACCTACATCTTCATCAAAACCTTCACTCACCTCGTCGACACCAGCCACTCGGTGTTCTTCTAGACCACCGATGTCAGTGCCCACGGGAGGCGATGCATCACCCGATAGAGACGGGTTTCCTCAGGCAGTCTACGACGGTCTTGCCGCGGAAGCGCGTAGCACGAGCAGAGCGAGCAGCTCTAGCTCTACCTCCTCGCCACTCATGGTCATCACTGACGTGCCCGAGCCTGAGACGACCGTTGAGGTAGTGCCTACTGCTACTCCTACTGCTGCTCCTGTCAACCCAGTTGCTTGTTATAACTTTGACATTAATGCTTATGGATACTGTTGTCCGGGCCCGGGTAACCCATGTGAGAAGGATATTGGAAAGTGCTACTTCAACGGAGAGGGCGTCTCTGGGGGTGCAAGTGGGATTGTGCCAGACGGAGCGCGGTGCCCGCCTCCTCCTGGTGCTGAATACTGCAGAGGTCCTTGTGAAGAGTAATTTTATCGAGACAGGTGCCAATGACCACAGACTATTCCGCGTGGTCTATATGGGAGTCTTCCTCAGTCCACCGCTAACGGTGAATTGAAATCTAATTCTATTCACCATTCTTTGTGTCCAATTAAGTTCTTTCCATGTTGTTCATGGCCCGACCGTCCGCCTCGACTTTCAGTTGTCCGTCCATTTGTGCTAATCCATTCTTTATTACCGTCTTTGTACACACTGCCGTGGAAAAGAAAGATTTTGTCCCAGGTACCGTTGCTTGAGGTACGCCTTGGAAATATCACATCGACTCGCTTTCTTCTCTCTGGCGTCTAATTTGTAGTTTACAGGTAGTCCTCAACTAATTCCTAATCTGCTATGTTCTCGATCTTAATGATCAAGCAGAGTCTTGATAGTCGCATGCATCTGTAGTTGATTGGAAATAGCGTTGAACTTTTTTCAGGCCGGCCCTAAGAGGCTTCAAATGAGTTCCTCCTCGCTTTCAGAAAGGACCGCCTTATTGGAAAGCATCCGATGAATAGCTTGGCGCATTACTCAAGCAGTATCAAAGGCTTGAGTGGAATTATACATGCTTGGCTTGGGTAGGTGGAAGGCTGCGGGCCGAAAAGTACGCCACATGTTTTGAGAAAGACTTGGGCAGTAAGCTGCGTGTCAAGCGACAGATGGAGCTAGAAGTCTGTTCCAGGCGTGCCTACCTTACCTAGCTTACCAAGAGCCAGGTCTGGTTAAGTTACTGCTGAGCACTTAATATTTGGCCCTGATATGAATATAGGTAATTCAGGTAGTTTTGCAAAAGACTCCTACCTAGTTCTGACTATTGTTCCTGTGTGGTCTAACTGTGCTGCTTCGCCTTGGTGCTTGGGCTCAGGTAAGGATTGGAGCAGAGCATGCAAGGGGTACATACATACGGTGCGTCACTGAATCTCAGCCAGAATTAAAAGACGGTCCTTAGCATTTCATGTCATCATAGTGGCCTCTATCAGTAAGACTACTATAAGGGTGGCTTTATGTTCCGTATCGTGGCTTTGCTTCAAAGTATGACCACTGCTGGGTGGCCACGTCAGCGATCGGCCATTTCTGTCCTGATATCACATTCCCCCTTTTGCCTTGCAGACGGGCTTGTCATGACGCTGTTCCAGCTATTTTAAGTAGAATGATTTTCAGTGCCATCTGGCTGTTCCGTGTCTGGATGACAACAATCATACTACATGCTGTGCCGCCCTCACGCCGTGGGCAACATCAGCCAGTTCAATTTCTCCAAGACATTCTCGGGGACACCGGCTTGGCATTCCACAGACGGCTTCGTGCCTGTAGATTTTCGGCGTCAGATCGACGATAATGCATCAAAGAAACGTGAGTAGGCATTGCTCGGTAAGCACTTTTTCATCCCACAGCCCAGCTGCATTGCAGATCATCACAGCCAGCGGGCTACTGAGGCGGCACACAGATAAAGTCCCGTACATATGTGTAACAAAATTCATCAACTTTCGACTGAACGTGCCTTCAAAGATAACCAAAATGAAGTGATCGCGACAAGCGCTCCTGCCGCCGGAAGAAATCAAGATTGGCGATGTACTCAAGGCGGTGAAATCTGCCTTTAATGCCTCTTGGAGCTCTTGGGGGCCATTTGAAAAGCCCCCATGATGTCGTTGTCCCTGCAAGCTGAGGTGGCCAGCAGAGATGCACCCCGGTCTTCCACCCTGGATATCGGGGCCCTACCATTTACCCAAACTTCTGACTGATCAAAAGACAACGCAACCTGTCCAAATCAGCGAGATTGAGATACGTATCTCTAGTACAGGTAGATGTAATTGAGGGTAGTTTATGTGATGTGTCGTCGATCCTAACTGTTAGTCGACTTTGGCACGCCCTCATTGCAGCAGGCCAGCAGCCAAAACACTACCTGAGGATAATGAGCAGTAGTCGGATACCTACCTATATCCTGACGCCACGCTATGAGACCTGCTGCCAACTTCGCAGTGACTAGCCCGTCGTCCATTGGGCTGGATCCTTTTCGCAAAGAATTGTTCTCCGTTTCCGCGCAGTGAGCAAGCGGGTAGATGCAGAAAATGGCAGTTTCCCCAACTCGTGAGTGCCAATCTCGACGCGATAGAGGGGTTCGAAGTGCGGTTTGTTGAGGTATTTACCCCAAATTCCAGCCCAGTCGAGGATGTGAAACGGAGGTCAGCTCTTTCGCAGTTTCGCCTTGAGGAAGTTTAGTCTTCTTACCAGAAGTTGTGATAACGAATCGATAAATGAACAGCCTCGCATCGCAGGGGACTTACCTAGAACAAGAGATATAAGTGATTTCTCTCGCACGATCAAGCCGCCCCTGGCCTGTTCTTCTACAAGTGCTCAAAGCAAGGAGCTTGTACATAGCTCTCACCCGCATGCTGTCCATAATCCCGTCCGAGTTGAAATGCTAGCGCCATAAGCCGCCATGGGTCGCCATGGTTCCGTGACGTCCCCATGATAACCCTGATCAGTCGAAATAAGGCGGCTTGCCTCTCGCCCGGTCTTGTCTAGGCAGCAAACTAAACTAAATCTTCGATTACGCATCATGCAGGCTGACATAGGTTCACGCCAAAGTTGACTGGATACCGATTACTGAATGATAAGATAGGTAAGGGAAGCTTGGAAACTCATGACATTCGAGCCCGATGGGGCGCCTTGAATATGGGATGAGGCCCAACGCATCGAGTCCATGTATCGGCCCTGTCATCGCTAGGTTAGTCTTATGCGACAACCATCGAAGCAAGTCTAAGTTCATCCACAAGCCAGCCAACTTACTTTAAGATGTAGACCGAAGCCCTGCCGTTAGGCCATGATGCTCCTATGTTATTCTCTGAGATATTCTCGAGTCATCTTTATCTCTTCCCCTAGTACTCTCTTTAAGTTTCATATGACCGATATTATGGACTTCCAGCCCAAGAAACAATCTTCTAGGCAAGATTCTGAGACCACCGTCCCATTCCGGCACCGATCAACTGTGCCTTCCTCTTACACCCAGTCTCCAGCGCAGACGGCCTTCCCACAGCCACATGCCGGATCTCCAATCAGCCAGTCTCATTCATTGACTCTGCCGCTTAGCCATGGATATTCTGGGCAAGACTTCCCTCCTTTTGGCACACTAAGCGCTGTCGAATACTCGCGGGCAAATAGTTATCGCCCTAGTCCTGACATGATCGCAGTGGGATACCCGTACTCGAGCAGTGCCCCAGCAGATAGCATGGCGTCCTACCCGCCCGTGCCGTCACCAAGTCCCGCATATGTTAGTGCCTCTTCATATGGGGCTCAGGTAACCTCGACATACCCGTCATCTTTGCCGCACCACAGTCACCCAAATAGCCCTTCGACGTCTTATTCGGGGTTGGCAAGTCACTCATCCGCCGCAAGTTCTTACGGCTGTCCCTATCCCGCTAGTTCTGTGACAACAACCCCTAGCGCAGCAAACACGCCTGTACAGCCCTTGTCGCCCACACTTATGGGAGTAGGGGGTTGGGACAATACCAGACCGCCCAGAGAGAACTATCAGCAACCAACTATGGACCGAAGCAATCGGGAAGGACGTAGAGTGCACGTCACAGATTTCCCATCCAATCCCTCGCGATCTGAATCAATAGAGGTTCATCGATCCAGCAGGTAAGGACCTCTCTGATTGTCTGCCAGAACGTTTCCTGAATGAATTCAAGTCCTTCGAGAGAGGCAGACATCCACATAAAGAGACGCAGCGTTCGGCCTTTGGCGTCGTGTAAAGATGACCAAAAGGGCACCAGCTCTCGGTCACGCAAAGACGAGGACAAGGACGACAGAAGTAAACGGAGCGAACGGAAACGAGACAGTGGTTCGGACAGACGTGAGACAACAACGTACTAGTTTGACATGTAAAGTCCAGTATGGTTTCTTTCTTGATGGATTTCAGACATGCTCAAGGGTTTCTGTTGCGCCTTCTTAAGACTTCTTTCGAATCCGTTGTGACAGTGGTGGTGTTGAGATCCAATCATATTCTGGTAAAGATCAAAATGTTTTCCGTTGCTGCCATTAGCACCTGTACTAGGAAGTTCTAAAATGCAGTCCTTCGAACTTTTTTCTCTCAGAGTAGTGAGAAGCTTGGAAATGTTCTTCCACTTCCGTCTCTAGATGATGTGACGCATCGGTATTCGGCTCTAACCACAATTCATAGCGCTATCTGACGAAAAGAAATGAAGCTGTCAGATATTAAGCGATTCACGGCTAAGCACAGGTATGTGTCCAATGGGGCACCTTTTCTCAGTGAGGCTTCAAGGGCCCATGAGGCCAAAGTGATTGATTGGACTGAGGCTGGCCGAAAAGTGAGGCGGAGCAAGCAAGATACGTCTTCTCCGCCCGAGTAGTTCGAATCATCCCAACCAAAGATTTTTGCTTTTCTCTACATAGCGCTTCTTGTGTCATTGGCTCGGAACCTTGCCTAGTTGCGATGAAGCTTTTCCAGAGCAGGACACGGAGGTGGGAGCCCAATCAGTGACCCGAACTTCGACTTCGTGTGCATCGCCACCCTTGCTCTTCGCCCCAAGTAAGTGGGCCTCTCTTTCAAAAGGGACCCTTGCTGCCGAGACTTCTCACCTTTCCACACAGAGATCAACGAGCTTGCTCCACCGTATAGCATTTGGCTGGTTCAAATCATGGAAAGCCAAGTGGGATGAGTGGCGCGGACCGCACGGTGAAGCCGCCAGGCGTCCGGCCGGGTGGGAGGAGAGATGCTGGGGTCCAGAGCTTTCTATACCTGACCCCTGGAGAGCGTGTTAATAGAGTTTCTGGGTCTTTTGTAGTCCGCTGGACTCCTCAATCATGTGATCAATAGAACTTGAGCAAAGCACTGCCAATCACTCCAACGTCGTCACAGGTGCGAGGCTACAGGCAGAGCATGTCCAGAAGTTCTAAGCCGCTGCGCAACTTGAGGAAATGAACACCCTATACCAAAGACACTTTCACGAAATTGACAACTTCTACCATGGCAA